AAACACTTCAAATTTATTGAAAATTACATTACACTATATTATGTCTATATATAATGCATAATACATTCCTTTAAAACTTGAGCCGGGGGAATATCTGCAAAGTGAAAGGGAAATAAATATCAACCCCTCCAATATTTAATTTACAAGATATGTATTATATTATAGTGCTTATAATGGCATCCGTAGGGCGTTACAACATTTTAGAAGACATTTATTATATTGCATGCTAATACTAACCTTATACTCCTGATACCTACTTGATATAATAATTAAGTTCCTACTAATATCTCGACTTAGATATTTTACAATTATTACTTTTGACAGAGCATATACGTCTATTATTATTATGCAGTTAGTATATGCAAACAAGTTACAAATATTCAGCCAGAATGTTACACAATAATTAGTAATGAAAAAAAAAAAATTACTCCAACTAATATAACTTTAACATTTGAAGTAGTTATTTAACAATGAAATAGTAAAACGATTTAATTAGGTACCTAGCGGGTATCTACCTACTACCTACCTACCTAATAAGTGCTTTTGTATTAACAAAATCGATGTATTTAAGACTTTAGATACCTAACCGTTAATAATGTATGATCAGTAGGTATGTGATAGGCGAGATAGTATTTTATTGTTCGGCTATTTATAATACCTTTATATACAACACTAAGAACAAAAAATATAATACACACAAGATCATTTAACAGATATAACTTGATAATATGTATACCTATGTGATAATAATTATTAGTAATACAAACAAGATTATGAAAGTGTAATCGATTTAAAACATCATAATAATATTATATAGACCTACTACTGTGCCATGCAAAAGATCAGAATTTGATAGTATTCAGAAATAATGGTAATTATTAAGGTCATAAAAAAAATATATATATACATTTAACATATTTAACTGATAACTGGTTTAACATTCTTTCTGTTAATAGTTATTTATTAAACAATTTAAAATTCATAATACCAGTTTGCTTATACGAGTAGGTACTTATGTAGTTTATAAATTTGACAAATATAATTTTTATAATTCAATGGTATACCCAACAGATACCCTGTTCCAAACCTTTTTTTTTTTCGAGTTGTAACAGCTGTTGATTATTGAATTATGAATCTCTCAAATCTCTGAAAAATCTCACTTCTGTGAAATTATATAGGTACACACTTAAAAGTGATATTTATATTATTATTTGTTAATACCAGCAGACAAAATATAGTTAGGTACCTAATAGTTAGATACACAAATTTAGAATTATTAAATCAAGCATTATATATGTAGGCACTCAAGGCAGACACTGATAAAATATATTTTATATATATACTATTTTACTATAGTAAAAAATGAACACTTAATGCTGCCAAATTTTCAAAAACATGTTACAATTACAATTTTATTTTACTAATTATTATTATTTTTTTTTTTTTATAATTCATTTAATTCCTAATTGTGTTATAATATTTTAAAATATTAACACAGTAAGTAGGTATTATTTACTTTAATATTTTCTGTCAATTTCTCTCACTGTATGAACATTATTTCTACTAGTTAAAGACAGTATGAACACAGTTATTCAAATGTTAAACAATTTACTTTTTTGTTTTTATTACCTTTCTAATTATATAGTAAGCTAAGTTATAGATTTAAAATATGAATTTTGAAATTTTATACCTATAAAACAGTTTATATCTTTATTATAAAGATAAACTAATACAAATTGTTAGGCAGATAGAAGTAACCTTTATAATCTTAATAAGCAATAACAATTTATAAACCTCTTTGTGAGTCTCTTTTCAATAGTTTCACATATGCTATAAACATAAACAAACATAAAATAAACTTTCAAACTTTGATTAAAGTATTAAAAACAACTTAGATTTAACAAATATAAAAAAAAATTTAATACCTATATACTTACATAATTAATAATTATAAACTAAAAAACCAATAATAAATTATTTTTTAAAACAAACAAAACGTACCAATGGAAAATCAAAAAATGACTTCCTAAAAGTTGTGCTGCGTTGAATTTTTGTACACAGTATAAAAAAAAAATAAAATAATAAACATCTTAGTAAAACCAATACATTCTTAGCTACACTCAGAATCTAAAAGAAGAATTAAACATTCTGACTTTAAGGTGGAGAACACAATAATGTAAAATTTAGTTTACATGCACATTGCACAGTCCTTATAACTTAAGTTTTAAATTACATTCCTCTATGTTCAGTATTAATACCTATTGCATATTAATATGTTCATGACAAACTTTTTATTTTATTATTGTAGGTACGGGGTTTTAATTTAACTTAAAGAAAATGAATAAAATTATTTTGATAGTAAAAACTATTCTTTAAACATTTTTACAATGTAATATATTTCAGATATAAATATATAGGTACCTATATTTATTATACATGTACATGTATACTCGTATATCAACAATATTGTCAAACACATGTGTTGGCTTCTTCGACTCCATTCCAAGTAAAATCTAATACACGAATAAGTTATTTGATGCCCTAGAAGATTTAGTTGTATTCTTTATATAGTTTTGCGTATGGTAAAACTGATAAAATTTATGACTGTTAGAAGAAGTATATATTCTTTCAACTTGTTATAAATAAAAATTAAAACTATGTCGACGTCTAATTTTATTGCCTTCACAAAAATATTGTATAGGTACCTACTGAAATTATAATTGTATAACATAAATCAATTAGGTAGGTAGGTACCTATAATAATAATACCTATCAAGTGTCAAACAATGGATACAAACTTTATAAATTATTTTGAAATATTCTGATTTTCTCAAAATTGTATTCAAATATGAAATACTTACAAATATTAAATACAAAAAAGTATACAATAATATAATATAATAAAGAGGCTCCCAAACTTTTTATGGCGCGACCAATTTCGGAAATAATTTAAATTTTGGTGACCCACAATAATAATAATGACCCTTCGTTTTATTTATTTTTCATTTATGGATGATTTATGAAGTTTTTTTAGTCATATACTGTCATTTGCAAGTATATATCCAATTTGCTGGTAGACAATTTGTTCACAGGAAAAAAAAAGGCCGTAATATTTTTTAACTAATGCCTACATTTTCCCATTTTTCCCATTTATTGGGAAAACTCTTGGGAAAATCATAGAGTAACCTCTTTAAAGTGCCATCCCAGTCAGATTTTCTTTTAGAAAAAGTGGCATCATTGTACCTAAACAGAGCAAAATAGCAAGTAGAAAAGTTGTTCACAGGTAAAAAAAATATCGTACTTAATATTATTTTTTAAACTAATACCTAAATTTTCCTGTTTTTCATCAGTTTTTACCTGTTTTTACAATATATTGAGAAAACCAAAAAAAGACCTTTCTAAAGTACTTCCCCGGTCCGATCCGAAGAAAAAAATCAAATAAACATCATTGTAAAACCAACACATCCTCGCTTCACTCAAAATTTAAAAAATGTATTAACTAAATATATAGCGCGACCTACACTTTGGGAACCTCTGATATCGTATACAAATGAACCAACAGAATTCTTATTAAAATGAGAAAATTGTTGTTCATATAACTTATACAGTTTACAATTAATATAAACTTATAGAAAATGTCCACATAAAATTTTAAACTACCTTCTATTCAATAATTGTCTATATAAGGTTTAGGTAAGTATTTAAAATAAAGATTTCGACAATTTTTCAATATTTTTTTTTTTTAAATCAATACAAAACGTTTTAATTTACTCTAACTCTATATTTTATGTGATTGCTATGCGTATAACCAATAATTTTATGAGATAAATACTCCAGTAAAACTTGTAATTTATATAATGTTCTATATTAATATGCTCAACTATCGTATAAAGCAATTACTATTAATTCTTCATCGAATGAAATCCTCGTACACTGTTATACAAAGGTTACTTTAATGACGAGCCACGAGACGACCGAGTCATTAAAATAATTTGTACCTATGTTATTATTCCAATGTACATATACATGTATATATATATATTTATTTTTAATCATTATAATTAATTTGAATTTCCATTATTTCCGAGTAATAACGAATAGGTACGCCTAGATGCATGTATAATAACTAAGAATATCTAAATGTTATGTTTTTAAAATGGTTTTATCCTTAAAACTAACTCCTCGAATCGCTAAATATTTGTACAGAAAAAAAAAAAACCATTGTACTTAACATATAAGCGTTTCATAGGTGCGTAGTCCCTCAAGCACAAACATTTGTAACGGCATGCTGCAATTAATCCAATAAAGTAAATTTAATAATTATATTTTTACGCAAAACGCAACAAACGTCTTTCCGTGGCATCGGAGATACGCATATACGTATATATATATATATATGTAAGTTTTCTTTCTTAGTAAAATGTATAGCTGTGCGCTTACGGTTCGTTTGCCAGCGGTAGATTTGATATCTGATAACGTAATTACAAATGGGTACCTACGCAGACGTTCTCGCGCGCGGTATTAAGAGTATTATGTGCATAAACATCAGCCTGCGGCTATAATACCAAAAAAAAAAAAAAAGTTTAAAAATTATCCACGACAGTATATATTATTTTAAATTGACCGTTTCTTAAACAACACGCAAAGCGAGTAGGTAAGATGATACAATGATAATATCTGGGGTTTTTAAATTAACATGAACGTCCGACTGTGCCTGAATGTCTGAATGATGCGGTATATATAGGTACCCTAACCTGTGGCGCGATTTCGACGCCTCTCCTCTTGCGAAACGGTTTTAACGGTGTTGGTAGTCGCCAACGAGAACAATCGCAATCGGCCGGAATTAATAACCCAGTCATCGTCCTCCAAAATCACCGCGGATAGATGAGTGGACCTAACCTAACCTCCTCGCCATCATTTGTTAATATTATTACACGATATTATTTTATCTGAAAAAATAAATATTACAACAATTTTGATTTTTATTTAATGTAAACTGAATGTTTGGGAACGATTTGAATGGATTAAGATTAACAGCCATACGCCGATGTATGCGAGGTGGGAGATCGAGTCAAGTGAATATTTCAGGAACATTTCATCCATTCATCAATAGATGGGATGAAGTCGAACAAGAAGAAGAATGTAAACCGAAGGTAAAGTACTCAAATACCCATTTTTAACTATTGAAAAATGTATAGATATTGAAAACTAAATTAAATTGATATTATTCCGGTAAAATAATAACATTAATATTATTTTACAGAACACCGGTTTGATTATCGTAGCCCGTAGGTATTATCGTATACGTTTAGTGTTTACATTCACTATGGTAATGTGGTGTGTTTCATTAACTATTATCAATATTCATAAATAGTAAGCAATAATCTCTATTATATAGTTACCCGTATAAAAAAAAATCGATATTTTGTTGGTGACGCCCTAACTTGAAAGTCCTATGTTCTGGAAATTACCTGGACCCTCCCCGTGACAAATTCCTAAACACGCCACTGATTGGTATTACCATTTAATATAAATATACTGTTCTACAACCAATGGTATTACGTTACTACATTGAAAACGAAAATAGTTCGCTGCTTTGAAAAATAAAAAATAAAAACCTTTCTACCGAGTGAGAAATCGATTTACAAAATAATAATGTTTACATAATGTAAATTTTGGATGAAGCCGGAGAATGTATATACATATTATTTATATTATATTAGTTTTACAATGACGTGTGTTTATTATTTTGGTTTTTTTCTGTTGAAATGACCCGCTTCACACAGAAAGTAAAACGTATATTATACATAGGTATGTAACTGTATTATTAAAAAAAGCGTTTTAAACATCAAGCGTTCCTTGACTCCGCCCATTATCACTAGTAAGTCGTAATAATGGGACCGCAACATTATGTACAGTCGTATACGCAGAAACAATATAATATAAATTTTAATTTATATTATAGTCTATGTGCGTGGAAACAGTGGATTGCCAAGTGTATAATGCATTTTATTTTTCTTTGTTGTTAAGTCATTTTTACTATGTTTTATAAATAAATATACTATACGTCATATTATACTGACGGTGAGTGTCTATCTCCAAATTGCGAACCAGAACGAGACTAGAGGGAGGGGGTTGGTCCGGATGGTCGTAGTCTAGTTTATAGTAGATAACCGAGGTTTTGATGAAAAGTCGGCAAAAATCTTGATACGGGTATTTTAAAGAGTCTAGACAATAATATTATTCAGGTTCTCTACTGCAGCGGTTCTCGACCTTTTTCGTATGACGACACCTTAATTTAGATCCATAAAAATGAAGACACACTTAAAACAATTGATGGAATTAAAATAACGCACACAACTCTCACAAGTCACAATACGGTGATTACGACTAGGGACATCGCTTGTTTACGTACTTACGCGTAATGACAATTTCCTAGTTTTTTTAAAACGTACACTATAAATTATAAAGTGTAAACAATTTTTTTTGGCGACACACATAACAGTCAAACGCGATAGGTTAGGTTAGGTCCTAGGTTCTAGGTAGGAGGTACGACTCCGAGAAAAATATACGCGTAACGTTTTAGGTTAGGATTACGGTTAGAGAAAATTGCTTTAATGGGACCGATGTTTTTTTACTGACGAGTGAAAATTATTAAAATATCGCGCGATACGAAGTGATTACCATAATATTTTATTCACCACTCCTGTACGACTACGTAATATAAACACAATGCGGAGATAATTAAGTCGGAGGTTAGTGTACACGCGGCGAAGGGAGAGAACTGGTAAAGTTTTCCGGTCGTCCCCGCGGGTGCCGCGGACCCGTCTTCATCGCCAACAATTTCCAAACTATCACGTTCTATACAATATATTGTACGTTATATTATTAAATATACTTGTTGAAACTAACAGCGTGTAGACAAACACGTAATATTATACGAGTGCGCTATGCATATTTGATAATTTGATATTATACATCCCGCCATCATCGTAGTACATAATACTATACGTAGGTAGGTCTGCGTTTCCAAACTGATTGATATAATATTTGTGTCTAAATTAATATAATATTATCTATCGATTATTAAACGGCAATATGACGTTTATACAACCACGAAAACCACGAATTTTTTTTACCGACATTAATATATAACCATGATAACCATTATAACCGATGTTAACAATTACGAAGGTTCATGCGCGTTACGCTTTTACATCTTTTTCTCTTTTAAGCTCGATACAAGTTTTGAGTAGGACTACAGTTTTGACTACATTGTCGTATTTATGGGACTTAAACAGAATATTAATTCCCGTATTGATACGTTCGACGTTCGTTTGAATCAAAACCGTTGTACACTTGAACCGAATGGTAGGTGAAAAGTAATAATGTCTAGTAGATGTGTTACAACTGTTGGTGTATTAATTCGTACCAAAATTATATTTGATATTATTTGAGTGTAGTTCCGGAATGGTTTTACGAACTTTTTTCTGTCTTTTATTCATTTTTTTTTTTTAAAGTTCTCCGTTATTTTGTGATTATTAATAGTACTACAAGATAATCGTGGTTGACATAGTTGTTATGTATATCCAATATGTTAAGATTATAGAAGCCCTTAGAAGGGCTGTTTATGCTAAGAAGAACAGAAGGTCTGCGAAGACGTTTGGTCGCCGCTTCGATGTTGTTTGGATTCGTGACATATTGGATTGCTTCGCAGCTAGATAGCTTTAAGATATTTGCTGAAAAATATTCCGCTATAGGTGGGTACAAGATCAAACTCAGATATAGACTTTACATAGTGTATGTATTTAACGAATATTGTACCTTCCTAGGTATATGATACGTAAACATACAATTTGAACGAATATTAAGATCATGACATTTTGAAAAAGGGTTATGAAAATGATTTACATTTCTCTCGCTATGAATCCATACGACTAATCCACAAAATAATGTGCTGTAGATAAACGGACAGCTTAGGAAAAGGGCATATATTATAAAATTCACTATTCACAAAAGGAGGTCACGATTTCACGAACCATTACCATTACAATTTCAACCGCTAATCTAAACCGTTAGGTGAGTAGACATAAAATATTCAATCGGATTTCCTCGACTAAATATAACAAAACAATAATAATAATAATTTTAACATGGCATTTACTTATACCTAACTTCAGATATTACGATAGGTTAAAAAAAAAAAATAATAGTCGTGTGTAAATATATTACACAGTTCAGATTAATTTGCATACTAAGTTTACTCTATGGCGTATCATCAAATGTAATCTAAAATCGTAAGTTCATTATTGAGTTAAGGCCTGTGGTTCTCTCCGTAGTTCTAAAAAATAAATAATTATGAATAATTTAAATACATTTTTACTATACAAAATGAAACTCGTAATAAAATTGATTATTAATCTTGTCTGTATGGATAAATAATTCATACCAAATTCAATTTAATTAAACAATATTTACTTACTTATTTTAATTTTGTTTATTATATAATCCTGTATAGATAATATTTATTTGTCTATGAATAATTAATTAAAGTTTTCGAAAAAACGATTCTGAGTGCAGTCGTCAATATATATATGTCATATTATGTTAAAATAATTAAATATAATTAAATAATTAAATTTAATTAAAATATATTTTCTAATAATATTATTTGTTTAATATTGTATCGATTTTTCCGTTTTTCCTGCGTTTTTAACGGTTTTTCATGTTTTTTTCTAGATTATTACATTTACTAAGAAAACGCTTGGGAAAATCGAAAAATGACTCCTCTAAACCATGGAGATAATAGTTCCTTTCAGAAAATAGGCCACACTTGACACAAGAGCAATATTTCTGGTAGAAAAGTTTCCACAACAAATCGAAGGTTAGTTTTCGAGCGAGCGAGCGATAACTAGGTCTCTAGATACACTTAAAATGCTTTTGTTTTTTGCCTTATTTGGATAAAAGGGAAAAAAAGTGCAAACAATTTTATATCAAAATCTCGGGGGACTTGAACACGCGCTCCTTAGTATGACCATACGTATTCATGACCATTCGACTACAACAAACGTATATTAAAGTAGACAATATAGAGTTATTTAACATAAACAGGTAATATCTGCATAATATCTGAACTTCTAAAAGCTATAATTTCGAAACTTAGTCCGCTCAATTCTGACTTACCATCCTTCTTAAATCGGCAATATACATGTGTTCGAAAAAAAAATTTGAAAATTAGATTTGTTCCACGTGATTTTTTACAATTTTTTACATCATTTTCATCAAAATGAAGTATCAGAATTCCTTTATAAAAACAAATAATACACTATCTTAATTTTTTTTTTTTGCCACAAAGTAAGATTTAATGAACCTTCTGTTAAATTTTCAAGCATTTCTGTTAAGTCTAACAATTTTACCACAGAGTACCTATTGAATAAAAATTACGCACAAAACTCACAAAATTTAAGTGTCTATAAATAGCTCAAATTTCGCTTAAATTTTTTGAAAGTTTAGAGTTTAAAGTTCTAGAAAAGGCAAATATAAGTTTTCTGTCCGAATTTCAAATATCTAAGAATTTTTTTAACTGAATTTCAACAAATAACAAAATTGATAAAACAATAAAAGCATTAATTTCGTACATTTCCCGTTTTTCTTACGTTTTATCCTGGTTTTTCCCAGATATTATGAAAACCACTTGGAAAGTTTTTAAGATGAATTCCTAAAATTACCATCTGGACAACATTGCCTTTCAGAAATGATGCCGCATAATTATATCTGAGCAAGATTTATGGTTGAATTTTCGTACACAGGATAAAAAAGAAAAGAAAAAAAAATAAACATCTTAATAAAACCAATGCATTCTTCGCTACACTCAGAATCTAAAATAAGATACTTTACTGTTGCACATACTTGTGTAAGATTAAATGTCAGATTCATTTTTTCTGTAAAATCTACAAACCATTGACATAATACGGTACCTATACCTTTTATGATATTATGTTAATGCTACAAACACAACGTATAATCCGTGTGTTTCGTTCCGTGGCAATGGCGCTCAAAATATATGTGTTAGTAATTTTTTGTAAGTTTATAATTATATTATATTTATTAGTGAACCCAGAAGTGATAAATAATGTTATTTTATAATTTATAGAAAAAATTATACAAATTGATGATAACCGTATAAAAAGTAAGTGAAATAGGTATTGAAATTATTAAACTTAGAAAATAAAATGTTCGCGTACCTAATCTTATTTTTTTATTATTATACAATAGACTTTGTTTCCAAAGTAATATATTTAATGGTTTTAAGTATTTCTAAGATATTATCAAATCGTTAGGATAGCTAAAATGTATGTTTAAGTTGGCGTGATTAATTTGGAGGACGTGGTCCTGTCTGTACGCGTACAATGCGTGAGAGATGACCGGTCGGCTGCGCTGTGTTTCATTTTCATGAGGGTTCGGAAATCAGAATTGCAAGAGCGCATCATGAATAGAGATATTATTTTTATTTTTTTCTGGAGGGTGGTAGGAGATAAGACCGACAGCATATTTTTTGTTTTCAAAATTCAACCTTCAGTTATTTAGAACTATTATTTACCAGGTATTCAGGAGGCAACCAGTAGCTCACAAAGAGTAGATGTTAAGGGATCACAACCCCCTCTTCTCACAAATATCTTACTTCATGCAAATTGATAATGTAATCAGTAATCATTGTAGTAAAATAAAATGTGATATTATTTATTTAGTTACCACGGTTGTCAATAAAAGTACGAATCTTTTATGTAACTAAATTTTTATTTAATTTTTTTTTATACGCCATTAAAACGTTACACAATAATAGTATAATATCCAATATGATAAATATATTTACAAACAGGTGTTTTATTAATATGTATTAATATAATTATGTATATTTAATCAAAGGTAACAGATTCGTAACCGCGGTTAAGTATTATCAGATACTGGTATCAGCATGAACATGTGTTTTGATTGAAATGTGATAATGAAATCAATAAAGTAGTAACTTGTCTGGACTTCTCTCTGATATTTATAAATTACTAATAATTACAATTATATTTAAAACTGTTTATTATATTTTATTATTTAAGAGTACCATAAATAATAGTTAATTAGACATTACAAATTTACATAAAAAAATATTGTATACTGGAAATTAATTATTACTGTTATGCTAGCCATTAATATCACAAAAAGTCGCCTTAATCGTTTATGGAAAATCCCAAAAACTTTGTTTCTAAAAAAACCTTCAATATATGTCAACTATAATTCTAAGTAAGAATTCTTGGCATAATTCTAGTTTAGCAACCTAGTGATTTTTTTTCAAAATTTGTATTTTAGAGTGCACAATAAGAATGTAAAAAGTTTCGATTTTCCGTCACATATTTGTTATTTATTTTCAACAATAAATCTGAGAATATTTTCGTTAAAACGAAAAATCATTAATGTCAATTTTCAAATGTTTTGAATTCGTTTTGAAAAAGCTATTTTTCAAGTTTAACACAAAAAAATGTTTAAACCAAGTATGATAGGTAAGTTTTGTTTTTACCAATCGATTAATCATTAAAAATTATACATTTTCAAAATAATTAATTTTAAGTATTCTTTTTTAAAAATGAGTATTATTGAAAACCTAAATTTTTTAAAGTTTGTCACCCTTAACTATCATATAAAGTTTATCAAACTTTTTACATTTTTATGATTCACACAAATTAAAATGTTGAAAAAAAAGAACTGCCAAGTTGTTAAACTAGAATTGTCCCGAATTCTTTAGAATGTTCTGTATTATTATTAAGTATTAATAGGTATTTTCAGAACTCAATATTAAATTTTTCTTCTAAAACTATGGAAACGACCAAGAATCGTTTAGCTCAGGAAAGATCACCTTATCTTCTGCAACATGCAGAAAATCCAGTGCAATGGTTTGTAATATAATTATTTTGTTCAGTTAAACTATAAATTAATCAAAAATTTGATTTAGGTATCCATGGGGTGATGAAGCCTTTGAGAAAGCTCGTAGTGAAAAAAAGCTTATTTTCTTGTCAGTTGGTTATTCCACGTGCCATTGGTGTCATGTCATGGAACACGAGTCATTTGAAAATCCAGACGTTGCTGCTATCATGAATGAACATTACGTGAACATTAAAGTAGATCGAGAGGAACGGCCTGATGTAGATCAACTATACATGACTTTTGTTCAGGTATTAATAAACCTACGTTTTTTGTATGTACATATTTATTTATATACAAATTGTCTAGAAAGATTGAACAAAGTTGAATTCGTTTGAATGAATTTAAAAATAATATCTTATATCAATACATTTTATAATACATAATAACCAAATAATTTATAATCCCTCCTATTAAAATAAATTATTTCTATTTTCTATTTAAAACAACCAATTTGTATAGTTAATATTTTTTCTATTTATTTCTTTATTTAATTTAATTTAATTTTAATTGGGATTGAAATTTATTTTAAGTCACGTTTTACATTTTGACTGTAATATACCTGATTATGAATTTTGAAATCGAAACCGGTCGTATAATACATTTATCATACTACATTCCTTCATTTATTTATATATTTATTTACGAGTATTAACCATTTTAATAATTTTGTTTTTACTTAATTGTTTTGTTATTAATTTATGTGTTATAAAATATATTTACACATTTTTAAGTATATAATACTAATTGAGTTGTTAAGTAAAATATTAAACAAAATAAATTTTGTTTAATCAATTCATCTGTAAAGTATATTGTATTTTGAATTATTTATACATATGCTATTAGGCTAGCATATGATTACAGTAAATATAATACAATAACAATAATAATAAATAGATAATTATTTTTATCCCTATTTAGGCAGCATCTGGGCAAGGAGGATGGCCAATGAGTGTATTTCTAACACCAGATTTGAATCCAATTGGAGGTGGTACATATTATCCTCCTGAAGATGCATACGGTCGTCCAGGATTTAAATCCATTCTTCTACATATGGCTAAAAGAGTAATTTATATATTATACTCAGTTATCATATCAATAAATATGTATTTAAAGTAAAGCAAAGTCAGCAGACCAAAAATATTATAAATATTGTATTGATCAAAGCATCCTCCTTATCGCATGTTATACAAGCTTTAAAAAAGTTTGTAGACTAATAGTTAGACAAATTATTAATTATTATAATATATACCAATAGGAAATTATTCAGAGAATTAAGAATTAATTGTATTAATTTAAAAAAGTGTTTACCTTTTCTTCTCCCATAAAAAATTGTTAAACTTAGAATCAACTGTGAACAACATACAAATATTCTTTTCTGTCAAATTTAATGGTTTTATTATAACCGTCTTTTACTTCCAATATATATATTATTAACCATGTTTCAAATAAAATTGTTGAATCCAACCTAACCCAATTAGATTTTCTGTAACTTTGCCGTCTAAGCCACACAATGTTATATCTGAGTTGTTTATTTGTATGAATTTTATTTAAAAATGTTAACATTTCAAAAAATTATAGTTATTTATTATTAATTTTTAATTAAATACGTTTATTAAACAGTTATAAATAAAAACACCAGTTAGCAGCAGAGCTGTCACTATGAGTCAAATTTCCCTCTTCCTGTTTTGTACTAGTCATATTTTTTTTATGAAATAATAATTAACCTCATACTATAATATTACAATGCTATGTACTATTCTACAATAAATTGAAATCCTTCCAAAAAAAAAAAAAAAAATGGTTAAATTTAAGCAGATAGGGGTTGACAATTGAAACCCCCAAAGGCACATTCATGATACTAACGACATATATAAATTGTAAAATGTCATCCCCTGGCATCATTTAAGATACAGACCCCTTTGGACTAATTAACACTTAATTATGAGATAATAATAGTCTTCTGCTGACTGCTTTGTTAACTTTAAAGACATTCAATAAATGTTAATAATAAATAATATTGTTTAGTGGAAAACTGATTCAACGTCAATGTTGGAAAACGGTTCAAATGTTCTTAAAATACTAATTGACACTACTGCGTTTGATATAAAACTCGGGAGTGAACTTTCTCAAATTATGAAACCTAATCCCAAAACATGGATAGCATGTTTCTCACAAATGAAAAAAATTTATGATGAAGAATGGGGTGGATTTGGTATGGCACCTAAATTCCCTCAGCCATCAATACTAGATTTCCTATTCCATGTTTCATATAAAATGTCAAAATCATGGGAGGGAAAAGAAAGTTTAGAAATGGCATTGACATCACTACAAAAAATGTCAATGGGTGGTATACATGATCACATTGGCCAAGTTAGTATATTATTAGAACAAATTAACAATCCAATTTACAATAATTATTACTTTTAGGGTTTTGCTAGATATTCAACAGACGAAAAATGGCATGTACCACATTTTGAAAAAATGTTATACGATCAAGCACAGTTAGCTGTATCGTATACCATAGCTTTTCTAATAACCAAAGATCAACAGTATTCAGATATAGTTCATGATATCTTGCAATATGTCAGTAGAGATTTAAGTCACAAGGTACAGTTTTTGATTTAAAATAAAATACATTTTTTTAGCGACTACTCTACTTTAATTTTTAATAACCACATAAAAAAAAGAAACATCCTACTGCATATTCCATCAGTATGATTAAAATTATATGTTTTATGATGTATGATCAATTTAATACATTTAATATTAATTATATGTTTTATAGCAAGGTGGATTTTACAGTGCTGAAGATGCAGATTCATTACCTACACCTGAATCATCTAAAAAACGTGAAGGTGCCTTTTGTACATGGACACAAGATGAAGTAAAGACTCTCTTGAACAAACCTCTAGAGTCAAAATCGGATATTAAACTTTTCGAACTATTTTGTTGGCATTTTAGCATTTTACCAAATGGTAATGTTCGACCAGACTCAGTAAGTGTACATTAATAATAAATAAGTTAAAAAATATGAAAGTCAAATATTTATTAATTGAATAGGACCCTCATGGAGAGTTATTGGACCAAAATGTATTAATAGAGTTTAGAAGTAAGGAAAATACTGCTAAAAAGTACGGATTATCTGTAGAAAATGTTAAAAAAGAACTAGAAATTGCAAAAAGTATACTATTTGAAGCACGTCTAAAAAGACCGCGGCCACATCTAGATAATAAAATAATAACTTCATGGAATGGTCAGTATCCGATTTATTTAAATATGGTATCTATAAAGATGAAACCTTAATTATATTTACATCAAAATATATTTGTTAATGAGTGCACTTATTTATTGGTTTTAGTTGTAACTTTTCATGTTCATGATAAATATTTCACAACAATATAATAAATACAACTATTTTTAGTAGTTTATTTTACAAAATTGTGAAAATTGAATGAGGCTTTAAAATTATCATCTTTTGTTATGATTTATAGGATTAATGATATCAGCATATGCAAAAGCAGCATCAGCATTAAATGTTGACAAATATAAACAAAGAGCAGTTATGGCTGCCGAATTTCTTAAAATGCATTCATGGGACTCGAGTACTAATACTTTATTACGATCGTGTTATGTAAATGAAAATGGAGATATTACTAACATGTAATTTTGTGTGTAAATGTTTTAAAAGATGGTAATTTTTAAAAAGTAAAAATGTTTAACTTCAGAGAAAAACCTATTGCTGGTTTCCTCAATGATTATGCTTTCCTCATACGTGGTCTTTTGGATTTGTATGAGTCCACACTACAATCGAAATGGCTAGAATGGGCTGATATACTCCAAGAGCAACAAGATAAATTGTTCTGGGACGAGGAGAAATTTGGATACTATTCTTCTTCTGATCAAGATTCAAGTATCATTTTAAGATTCAAGAGTGGTAAATAAACAGTAAATTATTATACTTGAATACTATAATTTAAATAAAAACCCTATTTTCAGATCATGATGGAGCAGAACCTTCTGGCAATTCTATTTCTGCATTGAATCTATTAAAATTATCAATACTGACTGGAAAACATGAATATCAAACTAAAATTAATAATTTATTTCTAGCATTTACTGGACGTTTAAGTGATAGTTCAAGTGCTTTACCAATATTAGTGTCTGCTCTTACATTGCACTGTGATTCTATCACTTCTGTTAGTATAGAGTTCATGAATTTTTTTTTAGTTTTTAATTTATCATTTTATTTTATTTGTTCAGGTATACATTACTGGTGACCTAGAAGATCCTGAAATGGAAGCATTATTGTCTGTAGTCAGACAACGATATATGCCAGATCTTCTTTTAGCTTATGCTGAAAAAAAATCAATGTCGGAACTAGCTCAAGGTTTGGCAACTACAGAAAATGGTAAAGTCGCGGCATATGTATGTAAAAATAATACATGCAATTTACCTGTATACAATCCTGATGAATTGATTGCATTATTAGATGGGAAAGCGCCAATCGCTTAGAGAATAATGTGTTTTTGGTTATAGAACATTATATAATTGAAAAATGTATACAAGTTCATTTAATAGATTTTATTTTTATTTGTAAATTTTAAATTTATATATGTAATATCTGAGTACTAACTGTTAACAGCAGAAACCAGTATATTTTTAAACACCTTAATATTGTATATCTCATAGGTTTAATGAAAGGTAGACTAAATATTTTATGAATTCTAGATAGATATTATGTAGAGAAGTAAATAATGAGCATAATTTATAATATTAAATGCTTTTTGACAACTATAGCTTAAGTGCGAATACAGCACTATAACTCATGTAAGGCACAACAGTTTTAAATTTAATTCAGTTTGTAATAATTTTTACTTTATACCTAAAGTAAAAATTAATGTAATAACAATTATTTTAAAATACAATTATTGGATTATTGAAACAAGGTATTGAGTAAAAAAAAAACCTGTGTCCAAATTAAATAGTTTTATATAGTTATTTAAGTAAATGCAACAACTACTTGTACTAAGTACAAATGATCTACTATTTTTATAAATCTGTTGTCAAATGTTGACCATGTTTAATTCCGTAGTGTATAATTCTGTTTTCTAAAAATGCCCAAGCCATTTTTGGAGAAGAAAACCCAATGCCAATCTTTCCATCTTTGGAAATAACAATGGCTCCTGCACTGCCACCCACACGTGATGACATAGACTCGCAAGCTTTCTGAGCTGCAATATTTGGATCGTTGCCTAAATATTGATGAAGTAATTTATAATAACATTAAAATCATCTTCTAAGTAATCTAAGTTTGTGGTCGCAAACCATTTTCCAAATGATGCATTATTTTGCTAGCCAAACAGTAGCGCATTATGCTGTCCCCATGACCAGTGGTCGAAATTGTACCCACTTCATTGTTACAGTAACCACCTGCACCCGGAATAGGAGTATCGCCGACTCTACCAGCCATTTTACCAGTTATTCCTCCAGTTGATGTACACGAAACCATATGTCCATTAACATCCATACCGATAGCACCAACAGTACCAACACTACCTCTACCAATATACATACATAAAAAATAACAATTAAATCTCCTTACTAACGAGTTTTATCCGAATTAAATTTACTGTCCGATTTCTGTTGTTATCGGTTGACTGCCCGACTTCAAAAAGTTGTCCAATGCTATTTTCGCATGGCTCGTCATCAGATAATCATCCGGGACTGCTTCGAATCCTGATTTCACTGCAAAATCATTGGCGCTCTGGCCCATTAAAAGTACGTGAGGGGTGTTTTCCATCACTTTTCTGGCCAACGCAATGGGATGCGCAATATTTTTCACGCCGGTAACGCTACCTGCAAACAAATATTAAATGCATGACATTTAAACAATTGAATAATATACTGTATTATTGTACAGAAATAGATAGGTACCGAACTAGATGCTTGTGTATTATTGTAAACAAATAGGTATTCACGAATTTCAAAAAATATCCCTACCGGCGTTCATGTCTTTCCCTTCCATGAAGAGCGCTTCCATTTCGATTTCACCCTTAAGATTCAACACCGACCCGCGTCCCGCGTTGAACGCCTCGTCGTCTTCCATACATTCGACGGCCGCTTGACACGCTTCCGTTATGGACGAAGTCGTTTCGTAGGCGTAATGGGCCGCTCTTATTGCGGCGCACATCCCGTCGAACTTTTGTTGATCACGACTATCCGGTATGCTCCCGGCACCACCGTGTACAACGATCACCGGTCCCGACATTATCACGTGTATTATTACAAATTTACAATGTTTTGACGTTGGCACGGTATGAACCGAAAGCGACTACTCTACTACTCCTAACTACCTACCTACCTATACGTTTGTTTCGTAACTGAACAAACGGACCGTGTTCAGTTCGTAGTTCAAATCAAAAACCAACAAACATGTTTACATAATCTTTATGAAACTATTACAAATTAAATACAACTGTTTGTCATTGAAGTGCGGATTAAATTACTTGTTATTGAAATCTTATCAGCTTTAAATAGATATCTAATTACGGTAATTTGGCCCGTTTATTAGTTAATGGAAATGTCTAATGAAGTACTGATCCGTATACGATGCGTATTGAAAAACGTCGGGGGTGCTCCAAATCTCGAACGGCGCGGCGTTACAATTACGCCGTTAATATTAATCGATTTAGTTTCCAAAGACCAATTTCAATGGAGTTGTAGATCATGACTACCCCCGCGCACCTATTATGGCAGGATTGTAATATTTTAATCGTCCGGATATTTGATATTACTTTAAAACGTCGAATATCGGATGGACTTAAGGGGTTCGAATATCATCGAGTTTATTGTAGGCCCGTACGCTTATAGTTTATTACATCACAAATTGATATGTGTACGAATACATCTTGTTTTAAACCGCGGCGTTTCATGCGTGTCGATAACATAGATAATCAATACATTCTTTATTATCTATGTTCCTTTTGTGTTCACGATGGCAATTATCATAGTTACTGTACGGTAATTATTGGTAATCGCCACGATTACCAGCGAAAGCTACAGCTGATCGACTTATTTACACATTTTTTGGAGGGCAAATATGCAACAGGTACATTTATTTTAAAGATAATAACGTTTTATTCCGGGGAACCGCGATTCCGTGTATGCGTTATGATAACCAAATGACTTGGACCTTGTATTCGTTCTTCCGGGTTGCCAATTTATATCGCAAGCGAAGAAAAAAAAAAAAAAAAAACGAAATACCGATGCAGTTACTTCGACGAACACTAAACAGTCGTTGGAAACATTCCACAATTACGTTACTGCGCTTCTGGATTTATAATAATTTAAACGCGTTGTTTTTTTAAAATTAATTTTGTGAATTACTATGGCTGTTATTAAAAGACTGCATGCCCTAATAATGGGAGCTCCAGGCTCAGGAAAAGGCACAGTGTCCGAACGCATAGTCCAATCATTCAACTTGTTGCATGTTTCTAGTGGTGACATATTGAGAAACATGATTAGAGAAAAAACTGACCTCGGCGTTCAAGTCAACAAGTAGGTAGTTACTCAGACATGTAGACAAGTATTTATACTTACAATTATTCAGATTTGTTTCCAACGGACAACTTGTACCTGACGAACTTATGTTGAAAATTATCGGTGATGAGTTGAATCGATTGTCATCGAGCAACAATAACTGGCTACTGGATGGCTTTCCCAGGACTAAATCACAGGCACTCAGCCTATTTAAAATAGCACCTGTTCAAGTAGTCATTAGTCTCGATGTCCCTTTTGATGTTATAATTGACAGGGTCAAAGGTCAGTTAATATTTGAATTGTTTAATGAACACTTTTCACAGATTTTCCGTGAATAGGTAGATGGATACACGCGCCAAGTGGGCGAGTTTATAACACAGATTTTAATGCGCCCAAGGTGCCGGGTCGTGATGATGTAACTGGTGAATTATTAGTACAACGTGAAGATGATAAACCAGAGTCAGTTAAAAAACGGTTGGAAATATATTCCCAGATGGCTGGTCCAATTTTGGAATATTATGCAGAACAAAATGTCTTGGCAAAATTTTCAGGAAAGACTACCAATGAGATTTGGCCTCAGGTCTACAAATACTTGGCTACTAAAATTGAACCCAAAGAAAAGATTGTATAAAGGCCGTTGTATTGCAATATATTATATTTTATTATTGTTGGTTCAAATGTATACATTATTTATGTAGTAAAAAAAATATTTAATTTAAAATAAGTATTTTTAACTTATTCAATGTTTTTTTTTAAAAATTTATTTATTTATTGTTATTGTTTTAATATTTGACAAAATTAAAATTGGTGCTGTATAATTTTTAATGACTTTTCAATATTTAAACCACCCAAGTAGAATAATATTTTTCCTCAGTGGGTAAAATATTATTTCACAATTTTCTTGTAAGCTATATAGAAGTATAAATTGTATTATTAAAATCAAGATTAATATTTAAAAAATAATGTGAAAAACAATTAAAAGCATACAGACAACATATTATTAATGATTGAACATTTGTAGAACATTTTTATGAAACATAAAATATATTCATATATTTCACAGAAATTGTTTAAATACCAAACAATTACAAAAATAATGCAAAGATAAATCACTGAACATAACATAAAAAACTGCAAAATAATTGTAAAATTGTAAAACAACAATAATACTTTATATCTACTTATTCATAAAATTGTTTTAATATTTTAACATTCTGAATAAGTTTTTATAGGACACAACCAATTAATTATTGTGATTTTAATAGTCAAAATTAATTTCAAATAAATCTTTTACAGACACAGTATAGTAAAACGTATACACAAATGGAAATCACAGTTTATTAAGAAGTTATCAGACTAACATCTAAAGAAAATCTTATAATCAAGTTTAATAAGTATTGTAATCAGTAATTATTTCCTAAAATTTAAATGTATAATCAAAATAATAAAAGTTTAATTTTCCTAGAAAAAAAAAAAAAAATATGGTGCCTCATATTTAATATGAATCATTCCTTGCCTCCAGAAATTATACTATAATCTTGTTCTTTCTAACTCATAAATAAGTAGTTATTAAAACATCTAAATAGAATATTCATGAACTGTAAAATATTCGATATTGAATTTCATAAACTAAGATTTTAAATATTAAATTATATTATCCTGTATACAAATTTTATATTTATTATTATGGTTGGATGACTTTTATTTTTAAATCCAGTTTATTTCCAAAACACAATAATCATTATTATTGTTACTATAAACACTTACAAGAGACTGGTTAGGGTAATTATTAAAATGGACTTCAAAATGCATTAATTTAAAAACACTAATTTTTTTTTATATATATACATATGTTAAATATTTTTAATTTTTTTAACTTTTTTGCTAGAATGAATTAATGATTTTCTTTTAACAGGCGTTTTACCAAAAGGACTTTTTGAGCTGTTATTGTTGTCCAAGTTGATCCTTTGAATACTAAAATGTAAAATTGTTTAATATATATTAATAAATTATAGTCTGAATAGATATATAGAATAGATCAGTTATATATTATTATTAATTATAGCTAATATAGATAATACACCATCCTAATAAGAAATATAAAATGCTCCATATGTATTGGATACTGCCATTTTGGAATATTTACCCAACAAAATTATATATTTTTGACAAATAACCCCTATGGATATGTAAATTATTGTGCTAAATTTATATAGGTGTAATAATCTATTACGAGAATATATATTTGGAACATTTCAAATTTGTCTATTGAGTGGTGCATACTATACAAGATTTAATCAAAGATTTACTTTGCGGTGTTGATTTTTTGAGTGGCCTGTCGCAGCTTATTCCAATTTTTACGACCAGCCTGATTGAATCTTCTGGTAGAGTTTTCTAAGATTTTCACAAGCTGACCCCAATCGCAACAATGTCGCGAGAATTTATTAACACAAATTATATACAAAATGTTCAATAATTCGTTTATATACCGTTGTCGTCCAGATACATCTGGTTGACTGTCGTCCAAAGAAGTAAAAAACTAAACAAAAATAATTTTTTTTATATTAAAAATATAATGTTCAACTGTTTAACTATTTTTACTTTAATTATGTATTCAGATAAATTCTTTTCAATTTTATCTAGTTGTTTGTCATCTTTCAATTGTTCCAAGAGTCTTGTGTTTTGATAAAATGAGACCAACATGCAGATAGCCTGTGATCTTCTAAACCATCTAACAGAGTCATTAAAGGCATATGGCAAAATAATCTCAATTAAATGCATATTACGTTTCCATGATACTTTAGACAACAAAGACTCAAACAACGATACGGGTAACAAACAATCTCTATACATGGATATTTCACAAATTATTAGGTATTTAAATTATCTGAACACTGCCAATGAATTACCTTTTTGTAAAAAAATCTGTAATCGAATCCTCCAAAATACTGATCACTTTAGGTGAATTTTGTTTTTTTAAAGACATCCCAGAAATCATGTGGACATAAGATTTTACAAGGAATGTGCAACACTGTGTTATATGTGAACAAATATCCAAAAATACTGGTGTAGCTGTTATATAACATGAAAATATGTAAGATTAGACAATATTTTATTTTATTAATCATAGTGCACTTACTTCGCACGCCTTTGTCCATTAAAACTTTTAAGACCATTGCAATTAATTCATCATCAACAGAGTCTGTGTTATTGATTTTTTTTATCTGACTAATTTTTTTCAATGCAGATCGAACTCTAGTTTCCAAAGGTCGTTGTTGATTATCTTTGATACAATATTCTAACAATGAAAACAATGTAGGAATAGTATCCATAATGAGACAAAATGATGGATTATTATCCAAATATATGTCAACCAAATCCATAACTCTATGGAAATTAAAATAATATTTATATCTATATAATCATATAAAATCTATACCAAAAATCATACTTTACTACCTTAATCTAAAATTAATTTTTTCTTTTATATGTTTGGGATTCTTAATAGAATTTTTTTTATAGCTTTTAAATGCTTCAGATAATAAGTCATCTATCATTTTTCCTTCTTCTTCAGGCATATCATCAATATCAACAGATTCCTTAAGTACATAATATGAAAATATATTAATTTTATTATTTGTTTTACTTACTAACTCATAATTAATAATTACATCATCTGAATGTTGATTAGCAGACATCATAGCTTTATGCAAAGCTAACTTTAATTGTTCTGTATTGTCTTGATCACCATCACTAGATTGTTCATCAGTTTCTGAGCCATCAGTTTCTTCATCATCTTCATTGTCTAAACCATGACCATTCATTTTACTGGCATTAACTTTTGATTCTGCATCACTGTTTTCTGCTTCATCTTCATCACTTTCAATCTCAGAATTATCATCACTATCATCATCTATTGAATTTAACCCAGAATCATATTCGGGATTTAAAATCTGCAAATTAATAAAATATATAATGCATATTTATTTATATACAAATATTAAACAGTATAGCAATATACCTGTAAAATTTGATGAGATGCTTGAGGTGTTATTTCAGAACATAAATGTGAAAACACGCGAGAGATAAGTTGTCTCAATAAATAAGACTCTCGAGCTAACAATGACAACATCAGTTCGACTACAACTTCAACCCAATTGGGTTCATCTTTTTCTTCATCATCCTTATTAATTGTATGATGTTCATAACAGTTTTGCAATTCCTAAACAAATTTTAATTTATTTGTAAATAACTGATTTAAATCAAAATAGAACTATTAAACTGCTAAGTTTAATTTTACTTCTAAAGTTTCAATAGCCACTGATGGTTCAACAAAAAGATAAAGTCCCATTTGCAAGAACAAAATGTGAAAAACAAAGAGGATTGACTGCTCTTTGGACTTATCAGCACACTTCTTTAGTTTTTTCTCAATATCTTTCGTTGTTTTAATCATTTTTTTCCAGTTGTTCATGTCCTATACATATTTAAAAATAAATACAACATTTAATTTGAATATCTATACTAACACATACTTCTTTGGAAGTTTTGGGCCTAAGTTGACGGTCACCTTTCAATAGTTCATCTGAATAATTGACCAGTGTAGATAGAGTTAATCTAAGTGTTTCCAAATTTGGTTGTTTGTGGCTGAGAGCTTTCAAAAATGAGTCTTTTATAATAGCTGTAAAAAAATGCAATAAACTAAACTTAATAATGCTTTTTACAGTAATTATAAATATGTCAATAAGAGTTACCTGCTAACTCATTGCTTATATAATATTTGTCACTTTGGTTTGTATAAAACGCATGTTCTAACATGAATTTTAATTGTTCAATTTTCCATATAATATCATTACTGTTTTGAAGGCCTAACAATCTAAATATTTTAATAAACACATGTTAAATGTTGTACATAAGAAATAAAAATAAAGTGGAATATATCAACAAGTATACCTTGCAAGAAGTTGAGCAGCATAACCACGATCTTGAATTTTCCAAAAATGACCCTTTTCATCGTTTCCTTTTTTTTTCATGAGTATGACTAATTGACATTGTTTAGCTAAAAGTTTTATGTGCTCTTCATCCATTTTTAATAAACAGTTTTGAAGGATTTTAATACCTAAGACATTTTAATATGTCAAAATACACTTCTACACAAAAATAAAATAAATGATACCTGTTATTTTTTCTACCATCATATCTCCTGGAGGTAAAATGAACTTTAATAATATTCTGTATGCAATTTCAGCTGTTGTAAATGTGCTAATTCTATCCATGACAGCTGATATACTTAAACGAGCATAAGATACAAGAGTGTCAGCATTGGGACGTGAAAAAGATTTCAATAACATGTCTATAAACCAATTTGAAAGTAACAAATGCACACTATCCGGGGAACTAGTTTTCACTATATATGTAAACAGTTTCATTACAGCCATTTGTTGATAGCGACTGTGTGGACCCGTGAAGTGGGGTTGAAGAACAGCCCAAAATGATTTAATAAGTACATTGCTATTATCCACAGATGTCAAAGCAATAGCAAAAGATTCATATACTGGATGTTCAAGTACTTCCATTGAAGAAATGTTCTAAACATAAAATAAAAAATTTATGTGACCTGACTATAATTTATGTTTTAATCTAACTAACTAATATTAGTATTTTTGCTATATCATTCATAGATTCTTGACATAAAAGTTCAGTAGCAATTTCCAATACTCGCGGAATAAATGCACCATCAATTAATTTTGGATATTGACTATGTACTTGTATTATGCAATAAAGAGAGTCTAAAGTTTGTTTTGTAATAGGTACACCAATGTATTTTTTTAAATAAGGCCAAATTATTTCTGTAAACATAACATTGCTTGACTAGAAAAAAAAAAACATTAAAAATCAATGTTAATTGTTTAACATAAATTAATAAACAACTACTTACTGAATCAATTGCTTCTGTTAAAAACTTGTAAGTCAATAAAGGTAAATATGACTTTTTTTTCATATTGTTTAAAAGTTCAGCTACAATTGCTTTTTGGGTATCTATTGACCCAGCACTAAATACTCCACTGCGTATCATAGAACCATAACATAGCACTTTACCAGACAAAATATCACCCTCTTCCTATAAAATTAAATACACAATCATAACTTACTTATCTTTTATAGTTAAAATGAATACTTACCTTATCTATTTTCAATATTGAAGAAACAAAAATAAAGTTTTAATTTTTTAATTTTAAAAGAAAAGGATATGTTTTTTTTTTTTATAAGTTAACCTCAATAACTTTATCTGGTTTCTCATTTATAAAGGTAATTAAAAGCTATCTACTTGTATTTACTACATGACTGAATTATTAATAGTTAAAGATACACTTACGGCTTTAGAGTCATATTTAGTCAACTCTTTGTCTACAATATCTTTGAAGTTGTCAAGATTGAACCAAGATTTATCATTTAAGAGGCTCACAATTACTGCCAAAACTGAATAATATACAGTTCGGACTTGTGTTTTTGGGGATCCTAATCCACGAACCAATCTTGTTAATACATAAAACACTTCTTTTTGCTGTTGTTCGTCAAGCTAAAACATCATAAAAACAAATTATTTATGTGTTAAACTACTTTAAATATTCGACCAGTTGACCAAGTATTACCGATTCATTATTCAAGAGTTGCAAATGTTTCACCAGTTGCATGCACAGCTTTGGTTGACCGTTATGCGGCGCCTTTATAACTTTTCCAAAAAGATCTAAGACTGATTTACTGGCCATTATTATTATGATTTAAAAAACGGTTAATATAAATTCATTTCTAAGATACAACAAAAAATTACAAGTAAACTACATGTGACAATTTAAATTTTGTTTAAAAAGATCGAACCGGATCCAAATGAAAACACGTGATAATCATTTGTTTATCAGCATTGATGTTAGCAACGAACGTGGCAAATGAAAGAAATCAAACAATAAAATATATCCTGTTATCATTTGGTTATGTTATTAACCACAGTCATGGACTTAGGTTTACAGATGTATTATCTATTAACCTTGCATGGAGTTGACCGCAGCCTCAACCATAAACATGTACCATAGATAATTTAAAATTTGATTATAATTCTGTGATAGCCATTAACATTTATGACTTCGCAATTTATTATTCAGTCATTGTTTTGTATACACTTTACATAGAAAGGACTTTTTGGAAAAATATTTATTATATTATTGTATTATACATTTGTCATAATTATAATTATAATTTATATTATATAAATAAAAATGGTAAGGAAATTTTCTGTTAGTACAATTACGTATTAGACTATTTTAATTTAAAATAAAACATTACTTTTCAGTTTTCCCTGAGTTTATTCAGTGACATACTCCGGCCATTTAACACGACTTATAGATGTTGGTCAGTATCAATGCTTCCAGGCACCGAAAGAGAAGATGTAGAACGAGGTGGAAAAAGTAAAAACCTCTTAATTTTGTTATTTTACACTATTTTTGATCAACCACCATGTTGTTTCCTTAGTTATAATGCCTCCATCAGCTTTGGATGCATTGACCCGATTAAATATCAACTACCCTATGTTGTTCAAACTTTCCAATAGAAGAACTAATAGATATACACATTGTGGAGTTTTGGAGTTCATTGCGGATGAAGATAAAATCTATATTCCTTATTGGGTGTTTATAATTTTTGATGCTATAATATTACCAATAAAACATTACGTATTACTTAATTTTTGTTTTGCTTAGATGATGAAAAACTTATTACTTGATGAAGGAGATATGGTTCAAGTTGAAAGTGTTTCGTTGGAAGTGGCCACCTTTTCAAAATTCCAACCTCAAAATTCTGAATTCTTAGACATTACCAACCCAAAAGCAGTTTTAGAAAATTGCTTACGAAATTTTGCTTGTCTGACTACTGGTGATGTTATAGCTATTAAGTATAACCAAAAAATTTATGAAATGTGTGTGCTAGAGACAAAACCAGGCAATGCTGTCAGTATCATTGAATGTGACATGAATGTGGACTTTGCTGCTCCAGTTGGTTATCAAGAGCCTACTCAGGAAAAAAAACCCACCACGGAAGAGATGATGGTTGATCCTGCTGACTTAATGCCAGAACCATCTGGTTTTATAGCATTCAAAGGTGCAGGCAATAGATTAGATGGTAAAAAGAAAAAAGAAAATACTAATGATCAGCCAAATCAAGTTAAAGCAGCATATCAAAGAGGGATTCCTGATTATGATTATACTCTCGGATCTATACAGTTTTTGAGGAACATCCGTCCTGTAATAAATGATAATGAGGTAGTTATTATAATTTTTAGTTTAAACAATATAATTTTTTGCTATTCATAAAACATAAATGTTAAATTTAAATCCAATTACCTAAAGTTTTTTAAAGTTGACTAAAGTGATTGGTAAAGCTAAATTGATACAGTTCAAATTTAAATTTAAATTTGTTTTTTTTTGTGTGAAATTTTGCAGACCATTAGGTTGTTTTACTTTTTCAATTTGAATTTGAATTTCTTATATGTTATGATTTTTGTATATATTTTTTTTTTTTTTTGTTGTACAAAGAAATTACAAGCTTAAATATGGTTAAAAACAAACAAGAATTCTTTTGGAGATTAATATTAAAAAAAGACAATCATACTTCGTACAATGAGTGCAGCTACTGTTGGTGTGAAGTTGGGAATGTAGAATATAGAGGGGAAATTAATTTGTATCTGTAAGCAATGATAAATCATTGCTAACAAAAAAACGATTCTGAGCGGAGTTCAGTTGATAATGATGCTTTGTTACCAATATATATGTCATACTATGGTAAAATAATAAAATAGGCATTATATATTCTTTTAATAATATTTGTTTAATATTATCCCGATTTTCCCGTTTTCTAAGTTATCTCATGTTTTTTCTTGATTTTTCACATTTGCTGGGAAAATCAAAAAATTATCTTCTTAAATTACCTTTCCAGTCAGCTTTACTTTTAGAAAAAATGTTTGTAAATCAGAGCAAAATTGCTGGGAATAAAGTTGTTCACAGGGAAAAAAAAGGCCACTATATTTTTAACTAATACTTACAATTCATACATTTATTAAAAAAACTTGAGCAAATCGAAAAAATAACCTCCCTAGTCAGATTTTCTTCAGAAAAAGGTACAAACAAGGCTACACTTAAATCGAGCATGATTTCTGAAAGAATAGTTTGCACAAAAAATCGAGGGGTATTTTTCAATTAAAATAGTCTGAGCAATTGATAACTGGGTCTCTTAGGTACACTCAGTAGTGTTAGGTTTTAGCTGTATCTAACCTAATCCGAGTTTGAGCTCACGATCCCTAGGAATACAATAAATGGCTATAACCATTAGACTATGACAAACATACTTTAATGGAGGTTATATATATAGTTATTTAACATACCATATAATATCCACGTAATATCAGAACTTCAAAAAGCTATAATTTTGAAACTATGTCAGTTTGCTCAATTACTTAATTCAACATTGTTCTTAAATCAGCAACATACGTACGCTCAAAACAAAAAAATTGAAAAATTAAATTTGTTCCAAGTAATTTTTTACTCTGACAATTTTCATCGAAATTTAATATTAAAATTTTTTAAAAAAAAATATTACATTAAATAAATTTTTTTTTCTACCACAAAGAAAGACTTTTAATAAACATCCTGTTCAATTTTCACGAATTTCTGTTAAGTCTAACGATATTACTACCCAGTACTTATCAAATAAAAATTACATATAAAACTCGCGAAATTAAAATGTCTATAAAAAGTTCAAAAATGGCTTAAATTAACTTAAGTATTAATAAAATAAAATATTATTTAAATTTAAATTTTAAGATATATTCTAAATTGTTGTTTAAGTATAACTATATTATAATTTCTGTGTTAAAAGATTAAAATAATAATGCACAGCTACTCTGCATTCATCCAGAATTCATGCACTTTATCCCAAAAAATTAGTGTCATCTACTATTACTTTTTATGTAATATTACTTAGTTATGAAAATAATAATTGACATTCCCAACAGAAATGTAATAATACAAAATAGTAAATATATTTATTGATCAGATATTTTGTTTTTCAGGATGAAGTTCAAGATGGATTTAAACCATTTGCAGGATCTGGATCAGTACTGAAAACCAAAAGTAAACTCAAATAACAACGTTTTATCCTTCAAATCATGTACATATGCACTTTTTAATATAAGACTATTGCATTTTTTTTTAAAATAAATACATTTATGAATTATTATATTAGTTTTTAATTTGGTACTTATTTTAATATAAGTTACAAGTAGTGTTTTATATGGTTAAACATATATAAATACTATATTTACCTATAAAAAATGTTTTTATTTAAAAGTTACAGTAATTCCCAACTATTTGTTTATCTCTTATAATAAAAAAAATTAAATTTATTATAAAATATATATTTGTTTTAATATTAATTCTGTGTAGGAGCCTTTAAGTATTTGCATTTTCAAATACTTAAAGGTCCATCCAAAATAATTGTCCTTTGGTTAAACTAGTTGTTTAACGATAATATTTTACTATACAAAAGTTTACCATTCAACAACCACACTCTATTTTCTTAATCTATAGTAGATACCTACTTATTTAACAAATATTTTATTAAAACATTTAAAACCATTAAAAAATTATGAAATACGATTCAAAGTGAAGTTTCTTTTATACATGAAGGTATGTATATTTTCCCGTTCTTCCCAATTATTATGAAAATCAAAAAATAATCGCCCTAAAGTACCACCCAAATAAAATTTTCTTTGTGTAAAAGTACTACACTTGAAAATCAGAGCAAGCTTTCTAATAGAAAAGTTGTTCACAAATAAAATAAGAAAATAAACATTATAAAATCAATACATTTCTCGTTACGCTCTGAATCTAAAATAACTTTATGAAATGAAAAACTACTTAATTTAAAAATTAAGTTTCTTGATTACTCAAGATCGTACCAAAAATATTTCAAACAAATTTTTTTTCAAGTACAAAATATTTGTTAATTATATTATCCAATAGAATATAGATTATTTTATTATTATTATTATTTTTATGTTAAATTTGGGTTGTTCCATAGATATATTAACCCATTGCTTGTGTTTATTGACGAAAATAATCTATATTATGCTTATACATGATAGAGATATCTTTAATCGTGGTCGTTATAGTGATAGATACATGGACGTAATATATTATGACCTTTTATGCCTCTAGGTAGATACATTGAACTATATGATAATTTTATCTTATCTTATAGTTCAATGGATATCTATACTATAGTATAGATCTGTGGTAGGTACTAGCACGGACACGAACACTTTCTTAGACCATGGGTACTAGGTGTCTTATAATTAGATGGGTATCTATGATAAACGGAGTTTCAAGTTAATAGCACAATTATAATGTTTAGATAATTATTAGATGTTTTAGTCTCTACACTCCCCTTTAGTACATGCACCATATTGAAGTTCATACTCTAAGTACCTACTTGCCTAAATATTATTATTATGTTAATTTAAGTTGCCCGAAGTGGTTGAATTGGAACGACGACCTAATCCAAATAATATACCAACTAGATAATATTATCTAGTTGATACGCCAGACGATATATTTTAAAGTAACTATTATAAATACTAGATAACTAAGACTGTAATAAATGATACATGCAACTTTTGTACCATTCAATATCTAAGATTCTGAGTGGAACGAAGAAGCTTATGGTTTTAAAAAGATGTTTATTTTTTTTTCTTACAGAGAACTTACTCTGACTTTTACGTGTAGTATCTTTCCTAGAAGTCAATCGGAGTTGGGGACTGGGAGGATCCCATTAGGGCGGCAATTTTTCGATTTTCTCAGGAGTTTTCTGATCAAATCCGAAGAACCGAAAAAAACGGGAATGTACAAATATATTTAGCAATTTTTCTAAAAGGAAATCTGACTGAGAAGCTATTTTAAGAAGATAATTTTTCTATTTTCCCAAGTGTTTTCCAGCAAATGTGAAAAACCGGGTAATAATAGGAAAATCGGTACAATATTAAATAAATATTATTAAAGAAAATATACGTTTATTTAATTATTTTACCATAATATGACATATATATTGTTGACAAAGCATCACTATCTCAACTGAACTGCGCTCAGAATCGTTTTTTCGCTAGCAATGGTGTATCGTTGCTTACAGATATACATAAAATTACTTATAACAGTGGCTGCACCCGTTCTCGTTATACCAGGACGTCTTTTTAAAAATAAAAGCGTCTTGGTTTTTTTTTCAACTTTTTACTTATCGTTGGATTTATTGAAGCGTAAACACACAGATATATAAACATACATTAGATAGGTGTATACATTATATTTCTGTGCATAAAAACGAGTTCAGGGCCGTGCGCAGGATTTCATAATGGAGGGGAGGGGAAAGTTTTGAAAAAAAGATGTGTACAGAAAATAGATACATCAATAATTAGCAAATATTATATATTAATTTTGTTAAACTTATCAATACTATAAAACAGCGGTTTTCAATCTGTGCGTCGCGGTTTATTATTACGGGAGCCGCGTCTATTAGTAAAACATGGCACAGTTACGCAGTAAATTTGTTCATTTTAATTTTGTACTATTGTCGTTATTCGTGCGAAAGCCGTTAATTCGGTTTTCAAAATCAAAAGGGCCACGGACCCAAGAAGGTTGAAAACCGCTGCTATGAAATATGAATCATTGTTTCGATAAATTTACTCGGCGAAGGGTGGAAACAAATTCATTAAATGCTCGGTTGGTATCCACGTTTATATCGCGATGCATACTCAATGACGCTAGTCCATTCAGGCGATCTTCTATCATTGTTGAAGCCAATAAACAGCAAACACGAACAGATAATACAATATTGGCGGTGTGCCATTATGTTGTACATTATTATTTAATACAAACAAGATTATAAAACATTTAATATAATCGATCGAAAATGAAAAACACGATGTATATTTTTTCGGTAACCGGAAGGTTTGAACCCCATCACCCACCCCCACCCATCCTTGCGTACGGGTCTGCATGCGTTAATAATATATCTATAGGCCACATTGTGGTACCTATTTCCTACAATACATACTACACTCACGGTAGGACAATACTGTTTCTATAACTTCATTGACCCTATGGTGCCGTGACGGTCTATGACCGTCAGTGGCGGATTTACGGGGGGGGGGAGCTCCAGGGATTTGGACCCCCTCCAGACACTCTTATAATCTCAATAAAATTTCGTCAAAAAAATGGGCATATATTAATAGAGATACCTTTTAAATACATATTATTTTTCAGGACTCCTCCCAGAAAAATGTTTAAATTCCGCTGCTGATGACCATAATCCGTAATTGGAGTTCAACTAGAACAATTTTAATGCAAGCGATAGGTATTCCGTTACCTGTAAGAAATGTTACCTACCTACATAATATTACTTAAAATTTTGATAGGTATCTAACGATATACCTACTGTTAAGATTGTAGAAATTAATATGAATTTAGATTTTTGAATCTAAACCAAGTTTTTTCTTGGCGGGGGATGAGAATTGATCACAACCGCCCCATTAACTTATAATCGGCGTATATTCGAGACTTGTTTTAAGACTGCATCAGTGACGTGGCGTTTTCAAGGGGAGTGATGCGGATGGGTGATACACCAACACCTAAAGTGGATGAGACTAGAAAGAGAAAAATACTCTTTCGCACTCACGAGTCACACCTAATACAAAATGCAAAATGTCAACTGTGAAACATGCCACATTATCAATACTTGTTCGTTTATTGTTAATCAAATTGTATGTGATATGGTATACTTATTATGTTAGTTATGATTTTTTTTATTGATATTTTTAATAAATAAATATATCGCCTCGCAAGAAATGTTCTAGTTACGCCTGCACTGACTGTTGGACTCTTTTCTCGTCACTCGTTATGTTATTTATAATACAAGAATCGTTTGTCGTACTATTTTAGGTACGTACTTGCAGTTATTAATTTTTCAAAATAAAGTAAATACCTAGACTAGCAGCGTGACAAATATGAAATGTCAACATTCAAGTACAACATTAAGGTTGGCCGTTAGGTATGACTTTTGGTAAGCGGTTAAATAGGCACAATGGTTGTGCGTGCGTTCACCAACGTTCACGTGTACACAACACACGTACGGCCGCGAATAGCGTAATAGTGTGTCGACGATTTTTCCCTGCGTGGGCAATAATTCGAAATATCCGCGTGTCAAAAATGGAATACCAATGACACGATCGACGGCGGCGTCCAACATACGGACGCCGGTTTAAAAATAAATAAAAATGTTTTTCGACCTTCGCGCATGAACAGTCGCGATCGAACGGTTATCATTACGATAGGCGTACTGCATTGTAAACGTCATTACGATATTGTAACGTAGGTTTTTTCAACGGCGAACCGCGTAAAAGTACAGGCGTTCGCGGCGAAACCGTCGTTTTTCTTTCCGCCGCCGCTCCCCCCCCCCTCCGAGGGGAAACCGATTAACGTGCGCATCTACGGCGGCGTGCGCGGTAACGTCGAAAAACCCGTCCGTAGGCGACCGAATTAATTTGCAGCGTGTTGTTCGTAACGCGGATGGGTAACCGCCTGCCCGTGCACAGGTTCGAACGCCGGAACAACGGCCGACGCGTAGTGCGTACCGTACACAATGCGGACGCGTCCGTAACAATGATAATAATATCTGGCGATTAATATTCACGCACGCAACGGCGGTACGCACGGGCACTACGCGTACGGGGTCTCGGGACAATGGGGATACCTATTATACCCGTTTACGGTGCGGGTATCGATTTCGACATCGGCGGCCGTAATAACAATAATTGCGTTTCTTACGCTCGGAATTGCGCGTATCGCGTTTTATTGATTCGCGCGAATGAATATTTATCGGCGTAAATATTGGTCGCGCGAACTTTTGATTTTTTTTTTCTCTACTCTGACGTCATAGAGCTGCCTGTTTTTTTTTTTTCTCTCGTTCGTACGCTTTGTGACGATAACAGAAAACAGATGGAGCACCGCGCGTGCACTACCACGGGCGGCGGCACTGAAAACAATAATGCGATGATTCGATTACGCGGTGTTACCGATTTTCGTTCTTGGTACTGAAGTCGAAAATTATTGATATTGTTTTATGTTGAGTTCGTGTATTAAATTTGAATCGTTGGTCGATAACGAAACGATTTTCACCGCCGTCGATTTTATTAAATACAATAATATACTTCATCGACTGCGTAGTGGGTGCCTCACATTACTATTTTGTGTTTAGTAGGTGTACGTCTAACAGACTGAACATGAACAAAAAAGGCATAATAAGTTTACGGTTCAATCAAGACCGAAGTGAGTACAAAAACGATTTTTCTGTAAAACGTCTCTCTCTAGATAGAAATGGTCTTGTTCCTTTGTTTTAGCTTGTTTCGCCTGTTGTACAGAGACCGGCGTTAGGATTTATACTGTCAATCCAGTGACAGAAAAAGAGCGCTTCGGTAAGTCAAATAATTTATTATCACAGTGGAATACACTGACTTTGTTATTATTGAAATTGTATTTTCATTGCTTAGATTTCGGCGGCATATCACAATGCGAGATGATCTTTCAATCCAATCTGATAGCAGTAGTTGCTGGTGGACGTTATCCAAAGTACTCTCACAACACTGTATACATTTATGATGCTATAAAACCAAAATTTGTGATGGAAATTAATTGTTCTTCTGCTGTTAAGGCCGTGAGAATGAGAAGAAATAGGTAAGTAATTCAATTTAGAGCTATATTGATAGTTTTTCCATTGAAAATTTTGTTATTTTTCTAACTTAGGGTAATTGTTGCAACTATAAACCAAATAGATGTGTTTTCATTTCCTGCTCCTATACAGCACATAATCACTTTGGAAACTCGTCCAAATCCAATGGGTATATGTGAAGTAAGTCCTTCTGACATCGCTGAAAAACAAATTGTTGTATATCCTGGAAATAAAATCGGAAGCATAAATATTATGGTAATAAAATACATACTATATTTATTATATTTAATTCGATAGCTCACACCAGTCTGTAATAGCAATTACTTTTTTTTTTATAAGAGTTTAATTTGGTGCAATGATAAGGATATGCCCCTATAATGTGGTTAAGTACTTATTTGTCTACAATTGATTTTAGTTTGAAAGGAATAAGAAAGGATGAAAGGAATAAGGTATTATTTAGGAAAATACAAAATTAATAATAATGTATTAATTGATTATGAATAGTGTCTGATGTGTATTCTCATATGGCAATATTAAAAAATTATTTGGTGATATATCAATCTAGTATTAAGAAATAAAACAGAAAACCTCATTTGTAATATCAAAATAACAAGGTTGACTGATCAAATATAATTAAACTCAAATATAAAACGTTCCAAGCTTACAATGGTGAGGAGAGGGAGTAGTTCCTACTAAATAATAACTACATAACAATTCACATACATATAATGCCTATAAATAGTTTAAAAATCAGTCAAATATTTTTTCAAACCATTATTTCTGTAAACTTACCCGTTATTTCTACATATATTTCCGATTTTGCTCAATTAATCAGATAACTACACAGAAAATCAAAAAAAAGACTCAAAAACAAGATTAAAAAAGTCTAATCGTTTTTCGATTGGAGCAATATTTCTGGTAGAAAAATGCTTAACAATTTTATAATAATGAAATGGTACTCTGTTCATTTTTTATTTTTCGTCTCCTTCCGGTTTTCTCCAATTATTATGATAACTACTTAAAAAATTAAAATAACATTTATTTTCTTACCAACTAGTTCTAAAATGCAACATAAAAGGTTTCTCAACATATAAAACATAAAAACCGAATTCCGTTGATTCGTTAGTTCACACAAATTATTTTTCGTTAGCAACAGTGTATCATTATGTACAGATATAAATTAAATTCCTCTCTTTATCCTACTTTCTCAACTTCTCAGATACAACTGTGGTCCACCCATCGTGCGAAGTATGTCTGTCTTTTTGTTATTTTATTTTATGTTAAAATGTACTTTAATGTTAAGAGCTTGTAAAAATATGTTTAATTTTGCCAAGAAAGTGATTTTTACAATTTTGAAGATGAACTGGTAGTATTTAATGTATGTATTCAGAAAAATAATAAACTACTTCATACTATTTCTACTACCATTTTATTTTAAAACATACGGTTGAAGAAGTTTTTGATGAATTATAACAAATTTTACAATTAAATTTAAAATTACAAGTTAAACTATATAAAAGACAATAACTAATAAATTATAATTCAAAAATTCTATTTACCTATGCATGCGCAGAACAATACAATTTTACTACTGTTAATCGTTTGTAATAATACCGGACTTACGCTTTACTATCTGAAACATTTACAGGCACTTTGACTAAAGATTGTAAAATTCGGCCTTTGCATTTTTTGATTTAATCACTATTTCTGGCATTAAACATAGTTTGTTAAATTAAAAATAATGAAATTGGTAACTTTGTGTCACGCGAGATGTAATATATTTTGTCTTTTTACTACCTATAAATCTGTTATCAGTTATTCCTATTTATTTTTATACTCCTTGAAAAATCAAAAAGAATGACCTCTTTAATGCACCAACTAGATTAAATTTCCTTTCAGTTCTATACTTGATACATCAGAGCAAGTTTTTTTTTTCAAAAGTACACAGATAGAAAAAAAAAACACATAGTAAAACCAATAGATCCTCTGCTCCCCTTTGAATTTAAAATAGTGTAAGTATTATTAATTTCTAACTGTACAAAGATGATATTTGTCAAAACCGCCTCCTCATTCTGAAATGTTTTCTTATGTTTGTCAATGTAAGCTGATCACTGGGACAATTGTGATGAAAGTTAAGTTAAGAATATGCATAAAGAACATTGAAAAACATACAAATTACATTTTGTGATATCAGATAATATGTTGTATAAATATCATATTATAATATAATAGAAAACAGACCATGTTGAGGGAAGAGTATGGTTGTTAGGAGGTGGGGTAGTATTATTTATATATTATGATCAGGAAAAATTCTACTGTCAAATATTAATACTAGTTATCTTAATTAATTTTTTAAATTCATACCAGGTTCAATGTTAAGGGAATATTCACACTGGAGTGACTATTGAATTAGTGGATTGATTTTATAAAAAATTAATTCAAAATGTTATATGATTATTTTTTTCAGGATATTTCTAATACAGATATATATAGTTCTACGGCACCAGTAATATTAAATGCTCATCAGGGAGAGATATCTTGTTTAGCTCTTAATCAACAAGGTACTTTATTAGCAAGTGCAAGTACAAAAGGAACATTGATACGTATCTGGGATACTATTCGTAAAACTAAAATAGCTGAACTAAGACGTGGTTCAGATCCAGCAACTTTATATTGGTATGTTATTTTATTTTATTTTTTGGTAATATGATTTTGAAGTAAAAGTTTGTTTATATAATGCACTTCATGTCATACTACTTGTATTAACCTAGTTTTGAAGATATTTCTTATGCCCAGGAATGGTAGGAATAAAAATTAGTTTATTGCCTGTGTTATGAATATAAAATATAAATAATTAAAATGTATGTATTTAAGAATAATACCTATCAAAAAGTTAATTATTCATAATAATAGTATATATTACCTCATTAAAATATATTAGATTTAAATTTTAGATCTACAATATATAAAGTTTAATGGAATTTTTGGAACATTTAAAGGGGATACCCTGTCCTACCATAAAAATAAAATAACAAGTGTCAAATGATATATACAATATTTACGATATTAGTAATCTAAGTGATTAGTGGGTATAAATTCAGTTGTTTTGTACCCCTTTATTCACCATATTACACAAGGTTTGTGTTTGGGGTGAACAAGTTTGAAAAGTCAACACATACATCTTTTATAATATACTTATTATAGACTATTGCTAATTAAATACTAAATAAATTAAGTAGAAAAAAAAATATGATACATCATAATAAGGAAAATAACTACTATAAATTAAAATTATTATCTAAGGTACACAATAATTATTTAACATTGATTTAGTTTGAAATCTAGTAATACATTTTATACAAATCAATTCCTAAATTAACCATATTGAATTTCCTAAATTTTTATTAACTTTTATGTAAGTTAAATTACTTCTAGTTTTTAAGGAAGTATTTTGTAAAAATGGTGTGGCTTAAATATTTCCACTTCAATTTTAAATAGATTTAATATTACTTTTTTATAAAAAGAACTTTTAAATTTAACACTTTATGATCATAAAACTGGTACAACCTATACTTGAGCAGAATAATTTTAATTGATACAGGCACTATAGTTTCTAAATTAAGTACTGTAAGTTCCTGCCCCAGACTTCTATACCATAACTAAATATTGATTGCGCAACTATTTTGTATAGTAAAAGATTAAAAATATTCCTTGGATTTTTAAAAATATAAAAAAGTGCTGATTGAGATAGTTATATACTGTATGTGATTAAACCATTTAAATTTTTCATCAACTGTTACCTTAAATACTTAATTAAACCAACATTTTGAATGCCTAAATAATGAATAATTATCTGCCTCTTAACAGTCAAAGCTATGAACCATTTTAGGTTCCAAAAAATTAAGAGTTATATTTGGCATATGGAAATATATATAAAATAAAATAATTTTTAAACATATTAAATAATTACAGAATCAAAAAAAAAATTAGTTTATACTATTTGAATTTAATTTATAAAATTATTTATTTTTATAAGTATACAGGTATCCCACGAGTATTTGACAAATGCAATAACTTTTGTTCTATTCAATATTTTTGATAAATATTTTTTTAAATAAATAATATACTTCAATGCTACTATTTATATATGAACTTTTTTTTAGGGGTAGGGGGACTTGAAATAAAAAATTCAAAATGGTCATTTTGTAAAATACATATTTAGAAATATTTTTGTGGTTGATACATTTGTTAAAGTACGTTTTTTCATTGTCTACAAATTTTTTGAAGTTTTTGCAAATGTGAATATTACAATATTTTGTAGTTGTTTTTTGATTTTGCAATTTAGTTTTTTTCAATAATTGAATAAACCGAGAAAAAATAACGTAGAAAGAATTGGAAAATTTACGATAATAATGATTTTGTTGTTTTTTTTTACTGTTAATTAATTGAAAATATTTATAGAGACTTGAAATTTTAACAATAACTTATATTTGCTTTTTCTAGACGTAGTACAATTTGCTAGTACATTATTTAATGAGAAAAATGAATATACCATGATAAATGATAGGTCATTAATAGGTTATTAACAATACGAAATATCATAATTATGGAAAACCAGTTAGTTTTGAAACAGTACACATTCAATCACGACTATAATTATACTGTTACCATATGGTCACACACGGCCTTATCAAATTTTGACGAAAATACGAAAATCCTAAATATTTCGGTCTTTCATAAAATGTATATTAAGGTATAACCGAATTTTGTTCTAAAATCTGAATTGTTTTTCGTTGATAATTGTTTATTGTTGCGTACTGATGTATTAATTAATTTTCCCTATATATCCCTTTAACCGAAGTAAAAAAAAAAAAAACTATTTTAAAAAGCATGTATCAAAGTTATATAATTTGCCTACATATGCATACAAATGGGCAATGGACAGTGCTACGAATGCCTATGATGCCACCATATTGTTTAAATAAATTTATGTATTACGTGTGTGACTAATAGTTATAAATATTATACTCGTGGTATAAAGAGCTTGAATTTGTCATTTTATCTTATGAAAATATATAATAATATGCTTCGATTTTTTTTTTTTTTTATTAAAAAAAATAATATTTACAATGCTTCGAGGCATAATACGCAAATCTGACAACATTTATGTATACATAAAGAACAGCATACAGCTGTGACACATATGAGGAGGGAGGCCATCCATTGATAGAACCCAACATTATTTATTTCGTTATAATCAACCAGCAGGTCACGACATCATTTTCTTTGGAGTCGTCGAGTGGGATTACCAGGAAGTGAATGGTTTCCGATTTGATTATATACAAATACAGTTTAGTTCCACTGTTCGTATTTCAATTTATTTTTTAATAAAACGGTTTTCTCCGTTACCCTACTAATGGGGGTTTATTTTTGATTTTTTCGTTTTTATGGTTTTATAAATCCAATATGAACTAGCAAAAGTGAGCTTATGGAGGTCTCTCGTTTTGAAGAATATAAATAAAAAAAAGCCACTGTACTAAAATGAAATTGTTACATTGTTTGTTCTCCGTATTATTTATAGTGATTTATTTATAATTGTCAAATAACCCCGAGAATAACCTATAACTTTTATAGTAATAGTTTTAATTTTTAGTAAATTTCAGAAGAGCGAAAATTTGTTCAAATTTGTTTTAAAATTTAGTGCCTTAGAATACGCATTTTGAAGGGAAAAAAAATTAGTGTCTGATTAAGTAGAAATGTTCCCGTTGTATTCAGCTGCAGTGTCTAATGATCCTTATATCACCAGTGGCAACTAACAACATTCGGTCCCGTGGGGCGTAAATGCGTAATGATTTCTAATTCCGTTATAGCTTATCGATGACTAATCTGGGGGTCTATTCTATTAATGCGTAATAATTTTGCCAATAAAATATTAATGCGCAAATTGAATGTTATCACGCGCTGTTAACGTTCAAAACTACAGGTTTTTCTTATCGTTTTCGGCGTGATTTACGATTACGTACTAATTGTTGTAATCGACCGGAGCGTTCAAATACAGAAATGTACCGCTCATAATACGCATGCGCATTGCGCTTTCGTGCGTGTAACGTAGATAATATGTTGATTATCAGCGGCAAATTAAAATTTTGAATAAATATGTTTAATAAACGTAAAATAAAGTCTGATTTAAGCAAATATTACTATATACTATGAATAAACTCGGAATATTCCTGTAATATAATTAAATTGTAAAATGTCCTTATTGATCGACACGCCACGTTGAGAATTTCAATGATCAATCAATAGTTATTATTATTTTCTTTTTTTCAATAATAATATTTTCTACCTTATTGACATTTTTTTCAAAAAGGTTTTGTTATGAATATCACAAGGAAAATCCATTTGAAAAAAGAAATAAGTCGTGAATTTCACTGAATTATACGCTATTTAATACTGATCGAATTTAGTATAATATCATCAGTAAACATCCAGAAATTAGTACTATTTTATTTTCATATCTTGTTTCAATCTATATATTAAAATAGAACGTGTCTAAATTTCGATGTCATGCCAGTGTTATAGATACAATGCAATTTACCAAACCCCTTAAATTAAATAAACATCATAAATATACCTTAAAACCTGTTTTGGGCAAGAGTTGGTAAGTTTTGAATACAATACCATATTTATTCAAAATTTTAGTTTTGCAGCTAGGCAATAAACATGTCATTTACGTTATTCGCATAAAGCGCATTACTGTATTTAAACGCTCCTGAATCGACCCCTGGTGTTTATCATGGTTGTCATAAACGAACAATTTTGTGAAAAAATTAATTTTATGTCAAAATATAACAATTAAAAATTTGCAGATGCGATGTGTAAATTGTTTAATTTTAAAATGTCACCTGACTAGAGTCAGCACAATATTATTGCGATTCTTATTCAAAAACTATTGTAATAATTCCCACCCCCTTCAACTGTTTAGACCAATAGAGTGCTAAATTGTAAACATATAAAGTATTTTAAATACTTTGTCAAATTTATTAATTTTCATAGATAATACTGATGAATTGTAAACTTAATAGCCTTTAAAAACATAAATATAATGTACAAATATTGTGATATTCTTGATGTAATAATAAGTAATCTAAATTTGTATGTATTATTCATTTTATGAGGTAATTATATTATAATATTTGTTATCTGAGATTAGAGGTCAATTTAACCAATTATTATGATTATATGGAGGTAAATTGGCCCTTTTAAACATGTGATTGAAGATGCTTAAAGAGTAGCAGATTAAATTTAAAATTTGTTTCATGATTCAGAGAACCACAATTTAAAATTCCATTTTGCTATGTGTTTTTGTAGATTTTTACCAATTTGTATTTTTAATGAAATCTCCCTTTGATAAAAAGTATCGCAGCAAATGAATTACGTCCTAAGATCCTTTTTTCATATGAATTGCGTTCCAACGTCATACATTATTTCCTATTGAGTTAGGACTGCCAACAGTAATTTATTGTTAGGTTAAATTTTTCGAAATTTCATTAAATCGATTTTAGCCGTTGTTTATTAATTAAAATATTTAATTTTAGATTATTACTCAGTATTTGTCTATTAAATAATACTGCACAATCTTTAATATGATTATGATCATTTGCACGTACTATAACGTTCTATTTTTATCATTTGGTTTAATATATAACATGTAACTAAAACGTTTTTTATTTTAACAGCAATTTCAACGTTGAATATTATTCTTTAATATTTTATGGTTAACACAATTTGTATCCATTTATACAAAATAAAGCTTTATTTTTTTTTTTTTTTACTTAAAATCACGTCAATGTTATTGCAAACAACATCGTATTTTATACGAATTATACAAGTACAACGTTATTATAATAATATAAACGAACTATGTCTACTAAAAGAATAATCTGTATAAAACTTGGGATATAATTGAAAAGTGTAATATATATATATAAAAATATAATTTGCAGATAGAACAGACGCAATTTCGTGTGCAGCCAAAAATTTAAAATGCTCAAATAGTCTCCTAAAAACCACTTAATATTCAACCATCATAAATAATAAAAATTTAATACAGACATTAGATTTTGTATTGTTAAATAAGAAACCTGTCAGGTACATATTATTGTAGTATTCTGTTATAATTTTAATTGTGTTCTTATCAACTATTTTTTTTTATCATCAGGGGTACAATTATTTTCAAATAATTATAAATAAAAATATATTATTTTTCTTGCACAAATAATAATAATAATATATATTTAAAGTGCATATTTATTAAATTTGAAATGCTATAAAATCCCATATGTGATTATGAACATATTAAGTATTAATCAAGTAGTATTGGATTGATAGAGAGAGTAGTAATCTATTTTTTTTTTATGAAAAAATAGTTCACCTAACCTAGCTGTTCCCGCACTTGTGTTTTAATATGAGTACTGTGTATAATATTAGTTTTTTTTTTTTTATTACAACCCCTCAATATTCACTGTCCCAAATATGTATAGGTAATTAGGTTATAAAACTCTGTAGTTTTGATTTAGGTTCAGTTGCATAGAGTCCAAGGTAAAATAATTTTTATAGTAAATAGTGATATTAATCACGATTATATAAAAAACCATAATAATGCATTTTAAAGTTAACACAATTTTTGTGTTATATGAATGTTATCCCTTATTTACTTATATTTTGTTAAAACTATCTATTAAGAAATAAAATCAATTTAGTATTTTGAAATTCAAATATTAGTGTTTTTGAGAGTTATTTGTGACTCTTAAATATTGTTTTTTCTTTACAGCATAAACTTCAGTCCTAATTCAGAATTTTTATGCTGTTCAAGTGACAAGGGCACAGTTCATATATTTGCTCTGAAAGATACAGATTTAAATCGCAAGTCTAGTCTATCAACATTAAGTTTTTTTAGCTCTTATGTTGAATCACAATGGGCTCTTGCAAATTTTACAGTACCTCCTGAAATGCCTTGTATTTGTGCATTTTTGTCTCAAGATGTTGTTATTGGTAATATAATACATGCTGTTTTTTAAACTCTTAAATTCTTGGTGACTTAAAATATACGTTGTGTATAAATTATTATAAGTCTACTTAATTAATGGATAAAGTTCTGAAGAAAACAAAGCTCAATAAAGTACTTGATCTTATGTTACAGCTGTCTGCCTTGATGGTAGTTACCACCAATATTCTTTTACAAAAGATGGAACTTGCAGACGTAGAACATATAGCATATATTTACATGATTGTGAGGATGAAGACATATAAATTTTCCTTTTAAATTTAAAGTTTTTAACATATTTCTCATAATTTAACAAAAGACAGGTCCTTACTGTCTTAATTAATTTTATAGAATTAAATGACTTTCTTGTAAACCAAAATTTTGTATATATAATAAAATAATAATTATACATTATTATTTTTAAGTTCCAATGTAAAATGTTTAAATGGAAAATTTGTTTTTTCATATACAATATTTTTTTGTTTCTGTGATAAAAATATGGGACTTGTATTTATATAATAAATTAGTTTTTTTTTTTTTACTATTTGAGGTAGATAATTTTTTTCTATTTTAAACATCTATATCTTTGTAAATTATTTGGAAAAAAATCACATATTTTTATACTAAATTTGTATGAGGTACTAAATGTAAGATTTTAAATACATTTATTTATAATTTTTTTCAGAAAATTTTTGTGTCAATTCTGTGATAAAAATATATTTCTATACTCCAACTTAGGTCATAATGTAATATATTTGTGAATTTCTTCACTTATATATTATAATTTATGAAAATAAAATCAAAATCTAGTTATTTCACTGTTTGAGTTAAAAATGTTATAAATTATTGGATATCTTTTCAAATTAAAACGCTTATTTATTAAGTGATAAGCTAACAATATATTTCTCTGTTATGTTTAATATATTATTATTAAGGAAATTTGAATTCTCTTTGTTTATGACTAATATATTTTGTATACCTATATTTATTGTTTTATAATATACACATTTATCCATTTTGGTTGACCGCTTTTTTTTCTTTAATTTGCAAATCGTGTTTTGACCGAAAAATAAATAACAAGGTGATGAATTTCTCAGAGCGAGGGGCTATGGATAATATTGCATACGAGTGAAACAATGTAAAGAATAATATTGTTTGCGTAAAAAGAAAGTATACTCAATGGTACACGAAAGGTATATGTAAATGATAAGATCGTAAACTATATTCACGGTTCAACGCCTCACCGGAACCAAAACGTTCAAAACCAATAACATTTTCGCTACCGTTTGTGAAAAAAGTGAATACAAAACCTGAGAATAGCAAGATATTTTGGCGAGATAGCGAGAATTAAACATCTACAGCTGATTGATGTTCGATATTACTTGTACAGGGAGGGAGGACGATAATTGTTTGTTCCATGATCCAGTATAATAGATATATTTTTGGTTCCATGACGTTGCCGTCGAGGTCGTTTGGGCGGCGCTACAGTGCGCGCAGCGAACTCGTCGGCGCTCTGCAGTCCGCAGCGGTGCCTGGATGCTCGATGCTAAGGTGGGGCTCAAAAACACAAACAAAAGCCGCGGCCGCCTAAACTGACGTTGGTTGTGTGTGTTACGACCGACCGTGTCTATTGTGGTTGCGTTCGTCGCCCGATCTGTCGTTATTTGCATCGTTATGTTGTCGCCGCCGGCGCCGTTTTTCAATTATTAAAAATTCAAACGAAGTTTTTTGTTGAAAAATCACTAGCGATTGTCGTGCACGTATATACATATCGAACACGAGCATATTATTATGGTCGTGCATCACAACGCGACGTCCGTCACTATGGAGGTGGACCCGCCGCAGAATGCCAATAGCCCGGGCGACCCGAAAACCGCGAACGGATCGTCGGAGACGGAAAAAGGCGAAGATTCAGAATCGTCGGAAGACGGACCCCCTTTGGACGTGGGCGAAAGCTACCTGGTCCGCCGTTACGACGATACATGGCGTGAGTATAAACAACCGACACTAAATAAATAAATATCGTGTTTTCTCTCGGCGCGCGTTCGTACCCGGCCGGTGAGCCAACGTGATTCCGGTGCGTGTGTGTGCGGGGCGCGCGCGCGCGCGCGAACACGGCGCGCTCTCGCGTGTGTGTGTGTATACAGGCGTCCATGAAGGTGTACGGTTCGTTAGTGTAAGTGCGTGTGTACTGTTATTATTATAGGTGTATTATAGTAGGTATGGTATTGGTAAAGGGAGACCGACCAGTCCACTATACACAGCTTTACTGATGTGTTATGAACTGACGAAATGTTGTGTAATCTCCGTGCCGGCGCGCAACATGTGATTGTAATAATTTTTAACGTTGTCGTCGTCGTCGCCGCCGCCGCCGTCCTGCCGTTTGAACTTTGGCGGTGGTATTGTTGATGTTTTTTTTTTTATTATTAATTCTGGAAAAATAAACGTCCCACCGGAACGAGACGAGCATCCGCACCGACCGGTCTACCGATGACCGGCGTGAAACGTTGCGCGCGATTCTTTTGTTCTCCGCGCACACGAGACTCCAGCGCGGCGCGCCATCGCCAAACCGCCACCCCTCGCCTAGCCGTGGTTTTCGCCGCGCGTTCGCCACTGCTGCCGGTCGCCGCCACCGGTGTTGTCAATACTGTCGTAGTCCCCCGACCTTCGTTTATTATAAACAATAATATTTTATTAGTGTGTACACTTACTACTATTAATACGCGTCGACGATGACGTTTTTTGTTGTCGCGGGAAGGCGTGTTATGGTTTCGCCGGTCTCTTTCTCCTTCCACTTTGATATCGTTGGCCATTAAGCGCCGCTTACCCGCGTATTTTTCGACCGCGCAATAATTTTCCCTCGCTCTCCGTACCGGCCGGTCAGTTCGGCCGGCCGTTGTTATCATAGTTACGCTACTATTCGTCACACTTTACCTCTCTTCCTCGCTCACCTATCGCCGTGTGTTTTCTTTTCCCCGTCCAATAACTTTTTTGCTATCGGAAAATCGCTTTTATTTCACTCATCGTAAACTCTTCGACGTTTTCGGTTTCTTATTGCAACGAAAAACAAAGAGCGATTTTTTTTTTATTTGTAACCCATTTTCGCTGTACCGTATTATGCATTTTAACACAGTCTTCCCACATACACTCCGGAACACACGACGTCATAGATATTGATTTTATTATTTATATTTTTATTTGTCTGCACATGGAAAAAGAGAGATAGGAACTTATTTTGTAATATATGTGATATAGTAATTTATGAACGGGAACAATATTAAATATTCCTAGTAATTTAGCTGATACAATAATAACAGTTGCATTTAACATGTGAATAGTAATGTTTTTTTATTTCATTTTAATTTGATACAATTCAAGATAAGAAAATATGTTCATTTTATTTTAAAATATAAATCATCTACCTATATTTTATCAATTTTAAATGTGTAATAGTATAGGTTTTTGTTATTATTTTTTTATTTTTATGTTAAATTAAAGTATAAAATTTACTTGATTGTATATCATATTGTTTTTAATAAACATTAAATATTATTCGAATGACTCATACATACATTTTATAATGTATCAATATTAGTGAATTACTTCCTTACTTTTTACATGACCGTAATACATTTATACCTAGAAATACATCAATCTATTAATGGATTTTACTTCATACTATTACCTGAAGAATGCTGTGCTTGATAGTTTTGGTTACCATGACAAGGTCTAGCCTTTAGATACTGATGATAGACACAGGTTTTTTTTAATAAAACCAGAACTCTTATGAGAACTTGGATTGTGTATTGTATTTTAAAATATGCATTCTAGAACCCCGTAGGTGAACTGTAGGATTAATATTTTTGTTTTTCCCAGTAAGTTTTGCTATTTAGTAAGTATTACTACGATTTCTTATAATTTGCATACCTTATTATATTTTAATAATAATAAAGCAAATATTTAGGGAGATTGATTGTTTATTTTTATAGTTGATCATTTGTTCATTTGTTCATAATGGAACTAACTATAACCAGAAAGGTAGGCTGCATTGACTTTAATAATACTTTCTCTATAGCATGTGTTAGGTAAAAAGGATAGCAAATAAAATGTGAATATAGTTTATTTTAAATTTTTCTCATTTACTAACTTTAAAAATACAAAATGATTTTCTAGTAAAATTGCATTTCTTCCATGCTCCTTTAAATTGGTCTATCTATACAATATTTACTTATTTAAACCTAACATTTCGATTAATCAATCGATCAATTTATCCAGGTAATTTCGGTAATTCAACCATTTTGTTGAATTACCAAAATTTTACCCTAAACAAATTTTTGCATTTACAATTATAGCTCAACAATTATACAATTAATACAATATATTTTTTAAGTATAAATGCTAAAGCCAGCTTCCAATATAAAAGCTATAATTAGATTGATAACTAGTTCTAAATTATAGTTAAAAATAGTAAAACATGTTTGGGGTGATATTAAGGGCTTTTATGGAATTAAACAAAATATAGTGGTTTATGTTTAGAGAAGGACAATCAAAAAGAATATGGGATATGACTTTCTGTTGAATGTAAAGTGTAAAGCGGAGAGTTGTTAAAATCAAGTTTGAATGTGTGCGCGGGTAAAAGTGTATGACCTGAATGTAGACGATTGAATTGTACAATAGTTGATCTAGATAGATGTAGGTTGTTAAACCAAGTTTTATGAGGAATAATTGGAAAACTATGTTTATATCTGGCAGCAAATTCTGCTGGAAGATTTGACCAATGGGAGGACCAGAATTGTTTTTATGTGGTAACGTATAAAAGGGGCGATATGAGAGAGTTTGCAGATTAAATTGGACATAGATTTGGCTAGACTTTTGGCTACCTCATTTCCATGTATTTGACTAGGGATGACTATGTGACTAGGGATCCAAAGAAATTGAATGTAATAGTTTGATTGGTGAAGATTGAAGGTAAATTATTTATTGCAAAGAACTAGGAGAAAGATGTAAATTAAAAAGACCCTGAATAACTTATTTTGCAAAATTGTCGGTTAATCAAATATATTTGTAATTGTTCTTAGAGTGATGAGAAAAGATAGTATACAAGATGAGTACATAAGAGGTAACTTAGGCATGGCTTCTATAGTAGACAAAATGAGTAGACTGAGATAGTTTAGAGATGTCATGGTAATAGAGGAATCGGAAGCAGTATGAATTGTAATTAAAATAAGTGAAGAAGAAAACTGAAGCTGGTGTATGCGAGGTGGGAGATTGGGTTAATTGGAAGTTTAGAACAAGTATGTCTGACCTCAAATAGTTGGGATGAAGGCAAAAGAAAAAGATTTGTAATTCTTTAATAACTATTTTTCAATCCTTAGGTGATTACATATTGAAAAAATCTTTTCTAAGCAATTGGCCACAATGTATTATGGAACCTCTGTGCAATGTTTTTTAATGGGTTGTACTTTGCCCTTTTGTCAGTTTCTTCAAATGTTTATTTTTTTTATAGGTACTTAGAGTGTTTGTATTTGTTATATATCTTAGTATTCAATTTGCTTTAATTTTTTTTTTCCAATCTAATTATGTCAGGGACACAATGTATAAAGAAAAATATATTTTTTATTTACATTCCCTAATCATTTAAACATTTTATTTGCTCAATTTTCAAAATAACCAATTTGTAAAATATATTTTTCTAAACATTTAATGTTCCTATCATACATGTATACCTAATCAATATAAGAAATTATTCATCAGATACGCATGTATGTTAAATTAAAATGTTCAGAATATATATTATTAATCAGCTATTTTGAAAATTATGAAAAGTAAACCAATAGAAAATTATTTTTTATTGATAATAAAAATGTATTTATTTAGAAAATTAGTATAGGTTGAAAGTTTTTAAATAAATTGAATATTAACAGCGATAAAAATTTTGTGGAATACAGTGGGAAAGATTTAGATAGATAAATTTATTGTATAAAAATTAACTTACCTAAATATATTGTGCTGTCCTGTTTTAAGACTCAGAAACTAGGTATATAAAAAAAATAAAACATTTTTAGATACATAAATAATTAAGTAGGTACTGATGATATTTTAGCCAAATTATTTTTCATCATTTTCTCAATTAAAACGTCTAGCAATTTCTGAAAAACTGAAACATGATTAAAAGAGCTTTAATAAACATTGACACTTTAAATTCTCTAATCATAATGATTTGTTAATATTTTTACTTTATTGAATTAATCATGTAGTTAAATATTTCAATTTTAATTTATTGTTGTATAGATCCTGCTGAAATTTTACACACAAGATTTAATGATCAAGAACATCATTTTGAGTACTATGTGCATTTTGACGGATACAATAGAAGATTGGATCAATGGGTACGAAGAGATAGGTAAGATTCATTTAATGTTACATTAACTGACAGTTTATAAATAATAAAATTATGATTCAAGAATTATGAGTTCAACGTTTGATATTTCGGACAAAAAATGGAAACAAAAGGATAATAACAAGTTTCCAGATCTTCTAAATCAATGCGATAGAAAGATCACAAGGAATCAAAAACGAAGACATGATGAGATCAATCATGTTCAAATGGTAAAGTTTTATAATTGTATTACACAGTTGAGCTTATATTAATCTTATTTTTTATTTTAACTAGTCTTATGCAGACATGGACCCAACTACAGCTGCATTGGAAAAAGAGCATGAGGCTATCACAAAAATTAAATACATTAATAGGGTGCAGTTGGGAAAATATGAAATTGACACATGGTACTTCAGTCCATTTCCAGCAGAATATCAGAAAGAATCTAAAATTTGGATTTGTGAATACTGTTTGAAATATACTAAGTTAGAAAAATCATTCAAGTTCCATATGGTTAGTTAACAGTGAATTACTCCTGAGATTATCTCTCTTTATTTAATAATAAAAAAACTTGTTATTTTTAGAGTCAATGCAAATGGAGACAACCTCCCGGTACAGAAGTGTATCATAAAGGTTCATTATCCATCTGGGAAGTAAATTCCAGTCAATACAAAATGTACTGTCAAAATCTTTGTCTATTGGCCAAGTTGTTTTTAGACCATAAGACTTTATATTTTGATGTTGAGCCATTTTTGTTTTATGTCCTCTGTGAAGTTGATAAAGTTGGTGCGCATTTAGTTGGGTATTTTTCAAAAGTATGTATAGAAATTTATAAAATATACATTTAGGGCGGATTTCACCAACTACTTTAATCACAATTAACAGACTTAATCACGATTCATGCAGCTAACCGAAGATTTTGCATTTCACCAAGTCTGGTTAAGTGTAACTGCTGTATAATCAGGATTAAGAACTAACCGCCCGAATTTGGTCGATTAGCTTTATTAATTGCGGTTAACATTATTAATTATTATCAACAAGGTATATTTTTCTAATTTGTTTTTATTTGAGTGTTTTGTTTTAATTAATATTATAAAATTAAAAAGCTCAAACATATTTTCCAAATTTCCAACTTATATTTTTAATTTTCCTTAGCGTTTTCAAACTGTGGCAGTCTTGTGAATTTATAGACTATGCTGCTTCGAACTTCTCAGCATTTTTTATGCTTATTCTGTCAATAACAGTGAAGAGCTCAGGTACAATATGCAATAGAATTTATTCTCGGAAATGTGTTCTCCCTTTATTTTAACATGTTTTCCATTCTTCAGTATTCTTCATAATTGACAAATAATAAAAATCACAAAACACAAGAGTAAACATAAAATATTAATATTGTCGTTTATCACCTTGGCATAATATTATGTTATAGCTGTCTTAATAATAACATTAATCGTGATTAGTTAGTGTTGTGAAATCCAAATGTTGATAAATCATGATTAACCCTGATTACTTTAATCATGATTAGTGTATTTTTTGTGAAATCTGTCCTTAAAATTGTATAGTAAATACTAATTAACGTGTTATTTGATTTTTAGGAAAAAGATTCACCAGATTGCAATAATGTAGCATGCATATTGACCTTGCCACCTTTTCAGCGACAAGGCTATGGTAAATTGTTAATAGCATTCAGTTATGAGTTGAGCAAGTTGGAAGGTCTTGTAGCCAGTCCTGAAAAGCCATTGAGTGATCTTGGTAAATTGTCTTACAGATCTTATTGGTCATGGGTACTGTTGGAAATCTTGAAAAATGCATGTGGATCATTATCAATTAAAGATCTAAGGTATGAGTTTGTCGCCTTAGTGATAAGGATACTGTATCACATAATAATGATTTATTAATGTATTGTAGTGCGATGACCAGTATTACCCAGACAGATATCATATCAACATTACAGTCTATGAACATGGTCAAGTATTGGAAAGGTCAACATGTAATTTGTGTAACGCCAAAGAATGTTGAACAATTGGTCAGTTCAGAGCAGTACAAAAAACCAAGATTCATTTTGGACGGAAGTGCTATTAAATGGACACCGAAAAAGTACAATCCTCGACCTGGGCCATCTAGACATTCAAGGTCACAATACTTGTCTGGCTAATGAAATTGATCCTGTGAAAGTACTAATAAACCCTAGTAGTCTTAAATGATCTTACATGATTTACCTAATGTATATAGTTAACAATTTTTTTTTTTATATATATATTATATATGTATATTATCGTGAAGGTTTAAATGACAAGGGTTAACATTGATTTATTATTGTGTACTATATATTTTCGGACTATCTCATATATCCATTAGTTTAACTGTTAAAGGGTAATATTATTGTAAGTAATTTGTTTTAATAGTATTAAAATAATATAGTCTTTATATGCATAAAAAAGAGAAGACATAAATTTATATAAACAATTCTATATAATTATAATACCCTGAGATTGTAGGCGAAAGGATAACGAGACGTACCAAAACCTATGTAACATTTATGATATTTTCCTTATACATTAGGTTTTTTAATTTTTTGTTCTGTCTAGCTGTATTAGTATTAGAGTAAAGTATTTGCTCTGTTTTAATAATTACATATAATATTATCCCTTGTCATGCCTTTTCATCTTGTGATAGTATTTTATTTAACTTTTCCAAGTACACGCGTAAGACAACTTGACATTTGTTATATCTCGTTGTATATCAATAATTTTCTATTTTATATCTTTTATATTTCATACAATTAATGTGGATATGCTTATGTTATAGTGTGTAAAAAAAAAAAAAAAAACTAAATTTCCTGTAAATCTAAGGTTTAGTGTTTAGTATTTAATAGTTTATAAATTATACTTATAAATGTTTTTCCTGTTATAATATTATTGTCAATATAATATTATCTGCTACGTGCTTTACTGTGTATATCTATCTATATTTATTTCAGCATGAATTGATTAATTTAAGATATCACCAGAAACAACAGGCATTTTATATTCCCTGTGCAGCGTTCCCCATAGCTTTATGGCTATGTTAACTCATTCCATCTGAGTGTTTTAACTAAATATTGTAAACTCACAATCAATACAAATTTTATGTTAATGCCATTGACAATTGATTGAACCTTTTGGTTCTACTGCCCTAGAGTACATGCTATTTTTAACATCATACAGTTGATGTTTTATTGGAAAGAATCCAGTATAAAATTTAAGAATTCAAATATCTTAATTTCAATGAATGAATTCCTTGTATTTAATTAAATGATTGGTTGATCAATTTTCTACTGAAAGAAATAAACATTATAGGTACTTAATTATTATTTTATTATAAATTTCATCATGTAAAATCTTAATTATTTACTTGTATAAATCAAATTATATTAGACATTAATGATTGTATAATAATTATTACAATGATAACAGTCTTTCAATATATACTATATTATAATTTGTCATTGTTTTTCTAATAGACTATTAGAATATAAATGCATACATACATACATAGATATTATTATAAACATTTAGTTCTACCATGTAAGTGTGTTTATATTATATTCTTATAGGCTTAATCAGTGTAATAAACTTGCTCGATACAAAAAATTTAAGATAAAATAAATATATAAATAATTTTTTATTTATAATAAACTGATTCTTATATTAGTATACTCTGCTGTTAAAAATGTATTATGATATTCACTACGGTTTGTATAAATTAGATGGTAATAATATCTTATTTTACAAACAGATATGTTAAACTGTATTAAAAAACTTGTCTTGCACTTTTCATGCTTTTCCCTAAAATTGAATCTTTTAGTACATATTGTTTTCAATTACATAATCATGTATGCAAATTAGAACAGATCCGTCATTTAATTTATATACTAATACAATTTTAAGTTCAACAACTATATAACTAACTAAGTTTAATAAGTTTTACTACCTGTTAAACAAATTAATTCAATAAAATTTGTGCAAGTTAAATTTCATTATTATTCTTAAATAGATTATATTAATATGATCTTAAATATTTATTTTATACTTTTAGATTCTAAGCGGAGCGAGGAATGTATTGGTTTTACAAAAATGATTTTTATTTATTTTTTTATATTGTACAAAAATTCTACTAGAAATCTTGCTCTGAAATATTAAGTATTGCACATTTTTTGAAAAGAAAGTTTTCTGGGGTTGTACATTTTCAGTGAAAATTATCCGCAGAGACTTGAAATTTTCAGAAACCTCATATTTGCCTTTTGTAGATGTAAAATTTTCAAAACATGAGTCATTTTTATTAGACATTTTAATTTTGAGTTTATTTAATATTTATTTGGTAGGTACTCCGTGGATACAATAATTGTTAGACCAAACAGAAATGTGTAATAATTTAATAGGAGGTTCATTATAAGTTGTACTTAAGTGGTCAACAAGAAAAAGTTTAATGTAATATATATTTATTTTTATTGTATTTAATATTAAATTTTGTTGGAAATCAAATAGTACGGCCTTTTATACATGAACTCTGACATCATTTTTGTTAGCAAAGATTAATTGTTGCGTACAGATATACATTAAATTCCCCTCAATATCCTACCTTTGTAACCTATAATAGTGGCCCACCCATTGTATGAAGTTAAATTGTAAAAATGTCAATGGTTCATGTAATTATGCCATATTTTCTTTGAATTACATATTTATTGTATTATACAAACTTTTACAATTATTTTCAATATAAATGATTATAAATGATTTTCACTATAATCTATTCACATTTAAAAGTAGTTTTAGATAAATGTTTGTTGATTAAACTGATGGTTAGTGAGTGAAGAGTGGATTGTTCATTGGACATTATGATGTTATTATATTTACATAGGTATGCTATAATTTATGGTTATCATATTATTACAATGAACAAAATGATTAAAATATTAATACCTATATTGAAAATGAGAAATCTCTTTCAGGTTGTTAATTGAGAATTTAATACAAATATTAAATAAGACCGTTGCACTTTCTATACCAATTATTTTAAAATATTTTCATGATGAAGTTACCCTAACTACATTATTTAGACACATTGAAATTAAAACTGGTCAAGTATGTTATACTAAGTACATTGTAAGTACTTACAGTATCATTTATCAAAACCAACTACCTACCATGTACATTGACCACAAAGGAAATATTTAAAAAATAATATTATTACTAAGTCATTTTTTTTATTCACTAATCTATGTACAATTTTGTTTGAATATTACCTATTTAAAAATATCCATATTTTTAAATTAAATGGATACATGTCATCAATATTACGTGTATTATTTCAAGGGACACGCACCTAAACATTGTTGCGCTAGCATGAAAACGCTGTCTAGTTTTGTTTTACGCTTATCGATTTTTTATTCCCAATACGTGTAAACACATATCGGTTTGTTACGAATAATTATAATCCTTTCATAATAGCTCGTTTAAAAATGTCCGTATATGAACTCAAATTGGCTTGCTTAGATTGTGTAGGGACTAAAATTACATATTTTTGGCAATTTGTCCAGATAATGTAATCGAATGTAAATTGTACATTTGATGCAAACAAATATCGCTCTTGTATACACTCTAAAGTCTAAATACACTACTTCCTGAGTATGTATATTGTGTAATATTACCTCATCGCGATCCTTCTCGTTTTTGTTTTCGGTTTTCAGCCCGTCATAATACGTTTCAACAGCGTTGTCTAAGACTATAATATTCAAAACGGCTTTAGGGATACTTTCATATGCGTATACCTTCTAGGTACCTATACCTTCGTATTCCCGCGGGGCCGAATATTCTTTTATATTTTAAAATACGCACATTATTATTTAGCCCACGTGTATAATACTCTAGAAACCTCTTGTCCCTGTCCTTCCCGTACGTTACCTGCGCAAATGTCCAAACTTATCCACATCGTAATTTCGTTCTTCGCATTCATTACCTATACCCACTAAGTATACCTACCCTCTATTCGTTTAATCCGATTATTTCCTTAAGCCTCTTGCTCCGAACCCGTGCTTTAATATTATGTAATATTCTTACAGGTATCTATCTAAACGAACATTTCGCATTTTATTCGTTCCTCGAGGACCGCCGTTATAACTTGATCCTATACACTATACTGGTACTATTGGTGTAAGTACCTATATGTATTTTTATTTCGGTTTCGTTATACCTATAATCTGCATTCACCAACAATAATTATTCTTCCATCGTTTTATTTTACAAATTAAGAACAATAATAATATAAATATAGTATAATAGCTACTTAAGAAAACCGTGCGGGACTTGTTTTTCTTTTTACTTTACATCCATTGCAGGGTTAACTCCCCTGCCTCGAAGAATGGTCAGTTTTCAATCATCTTTTTTTTTCAGATTACGAAAACTTCTTATAGAGTATTATATTTGGATTTTCAAATGTTACTTCCAAACGCTAATTAGAGTGCGTATATGACCGATGTTTTAATTTTTAGTTACATATAAGTTATAATATATACATATACTCAGAATTGTAGTCCAATTTATAGGAAGTTATCTTCTACAAAAGAAATAAAATATATGTATCGAAATTGCACATCCCTGTGCGGGAAAGTTCACCCTGCAAAAAAAAAGCAGGTCGTGCACCTTAATTGTATGTATTGTATATTGATGCTAATGTAAATGTTTATATTAGTGTACACTAATTGTATTGTAATTTGTACATAAATATTAAAACTGAATACATTTTTTGTTGAAAATGATTAAGGTTAAATGCTGACAATATATGAAATAAATACGAGTAGGACTCTTTAATATTATAATTTATCGACTGTCATGCCTTCTAGGAGTTATAGTTGGATATAGTTCATTAAACAAATAAACTTTTGTTGAATTTACTGCGTAATTTATCTGTTCACGAACTATAGAACAAAATGCCTTCTGCTAGATGCTAGTCTACCCTCTATAGTCTATGTAACAGATATAAATTATATCTATCTATATTTTTTTAATCCATTCTACCTACTTAATTTTTTTTTAGCTTCTGGGAAAACCACGAAACGCATTACTTTATTTACAATTAGGTTTATAATATTATAATGATAAAAAACAGTCAGTTTTTTTATTTCTACCTATACTTATCATCAATGGTATAATAATAGTACCTACCTAATTGATGAATGATGATTAAAGACATGGGAATATTGAAGATGGATCCCCTTTTCTATGTACCGATGTCCTACATATGGACATAAGTATTAAATATTAAGTACCTACTACCTACTTACAAATTACTCAGTAAAATACCCACCAAAAGATATATTTTCAGCCTGTCCTTCCGTCAGGATAATTCTAAATACGTCCCTGAAGTCGCTGAATTGGATATTATAACTAGACATATAATATTACATGATAAACGCGAACCGAAAAGCTAATCGATAAGTAACATTTAATTTTCGCGAGTTAAAAATGTTCATATAGAATATATAAGTTATTATATTAGTTATATTAGCTATATTAATATTATATTAGTATTTAACCAAACGAAACATACAATTGGCATTAACCTATTGTTTTTTGGCTTTTCTACTTTGTTCTTGGAAATAAAAGTGTTCTTTATTTAGAAAAAAAGGCGAATAGGTATCTTGAAAATCGTACCGTCTCGAGGAGACGAGGCAGATCATACCGCGTAAACTAAGAGGTTTTTTATTTTTCTTAATATTTAGTTTATTTTATTAACTCTTATTTGTCCGCCTGCAGTATTGCATTTAAATAAACTAATTGAAGATGACTTAAATTAATTATTATTATTGTTTTTTTTTCATTAAGCGATAATCATTAAACGTTGAATTAAGGACGTACCTATTAATAAGCATTAAGAGATATTTTAACAATTCATTAAGTGCGTCAAACAATAGACTCATAATGAATTAGTCTGATAATGAATAGAAATTATAATTAGTCAATTATTTTAATATGTGTGTGTGTGTGTGTGATTTTTCTCCATTAGGATAAAATTCAATGTTTTATCAAAGCAATAATATGTTTCATAATAGGTATTTAAAAATAAATTAAAACAATATTATTGTATACCTATACTTATTATAATCGCAATTACCTAATGGTTTTAATATACAAAAACCTAATAGTTTAACAGTGCCATAGATGCAGCGTGCAGGTGGTGCATTACCAGTCTTGCAAAGTATTTAAATAATTTTATAGTATTTAGAATACTATTTGAATTAAGTATTTGGAAAGTAATTTAAATACTGTCTAGGGTGTATATATATTTGAATTTCAAATACTTACATGTAAATATTTATCAAGAATTGAAAATTCCGTGTTGTTATGCCCATAGCTTCAAGAAAAAAAAAATAAGCATAAGAATAAACATAAGTTTACATTGTACATTTTAATTTATATAATTAATAAATTGCATTTTTAATGCTTTTGTTTTTAATTATTTAATAAATCTCTAATCTATTTGATAAATAAATGCATGAATCTTATAATTTCTCAGTTATTCTAATGTTATTTATCACATTTTAACCCAATGTTTGAGTAAAATGGGATATTTGATAATTTTTTAATTCTTTATTCTATGCATATTAATACACATTTTATCTTATTTATTGAGGTTATTAAATTCTGTAATTACTTTATAATTAATAAGTTGAGTAATTTGGGTATCTATATTTTTAATAAAAAAAATAACTGATACTAGAATGGGTGTGCCACTGTTGTAGGTAGGAAGTTAGGAAGGTAGGATACATAAAGTAATTTAATATAGTAGTAGTTAAACTTGTTAAGTTAATAAAAGACTAGTTAAATTAATAGTTTAATATAATTTTAGTAATTTTATCTTGAAATTATATAATCCAGTCATCTTATGAAGAAAAGAGCTTGATTTATTGAATACAAATTTAATTATTGCACAGGATTTTAAATTTTCATTGTCGATTTAGGTAAATATAATTGAAGATTCTTCAATTTGGTCATGAATCATTATTTAATTATTATTATTTTATACATCCCCTCTAATTTCAGAACACGCTACTGAGATACATATAATATATCCTAACCCCAAATCCGTCGGTGTACGGTTAAACAATCAGTTCGAAATCTTGAGTATACTTTTGACAGACAACTGAGGACTGAGAAAGGTATACAAATATAAATTACAACGTAAACTACTTGGAAGTAGGAATGCATATTATACATAAACAAAATTAAATTTCGTAACGTAGGTATGTAACAATTCTATTATTTTTAGATTAAAAACCTGGTGATGTGGAAAAAGTGCGTACAGGTAGGTACGTGAAATCAAGGCAAAAATGTTATTGCGCCTCGAGGAAGTATTATAAAAGTTTTTTGATTTCGGTTATTTTCGATGTATATACAACGTCAGTCGGATTTACCTACATATACATAATATGGAGAAGTTGATAGGAATTTTGTGGCATAAACTTTTTTACTGTGTATTCAGTTGGTAGGTAAGAGAAACTGCTGGTAGGTATTACCTACTATTTATTAATATTCGTACTTACGTATGTGACCTATCTATACATATACTGGTATAATAATAAAATGCGTGTTAAATTAATAAATCTACGTGAAGATGGAATAGCACAAACGTAAGACCGACGACAGGTACAAACGATTAAT